GGTGGTGGTGGTGGTGGTGGTGGTGGTGGTGGTGGTGGCCGTCGCAAGTGGCACTGGCGCCCAGTTAGACGTTGGCTCCTTTGAACTAGCTAGCTAGCGGAGCAAACAAATTACGCCTACGAGTTCAATAACAATCCTCGAGCAAGCCAAAACATCAGTGATTGTTATATTAACCATATTATAATAAGACGATGACAGACGCCTGCTGAGGACTAGTTTGGAGGGCAGGATCTCTCGACAATACGGTTTCCCACCATCGACAGGAGAGACAGATTGGAAGAGGGAAATTGCATTCTTTGTAGCCATCGCAAGATCATTTCAATACACCACCGATCTTGGACTGCAGTGAACGCAGCAACTCGCAGCAACTCGGCTGACACCACACTGCGCTCTCCCGTTTCTGTCGCCTGTCGCCTCTCCTTCTCTGTTCGCCTCTCCGTCTCCACTTTGACTGGCCGCTGAATCAGTTGGCCTCTGCCAGCCATCCCGCCAGCCATATGCTGGCCCAGTGACCAGTGTCCTCCTCCGCTCAGTCAGCAGACGCCGTGCCCAGCCAGTCCCAGCCACCGTTGCCATGTTGCCCATCATCAGCCTGGACAGCTGCAGCAGTGCCGCCAACTGTGTCCAGTTGGAGGGCGGCGGGAAGGCGCGAGGCAGAGCCTCCGTCAAATCGCACCCCGTCAGCGAGTGCCTCACCTACTCCCAGCAGTCCATTCTCTGCGCCATGGACCGCTTCGTCAAATCAGTGCACAACATGGACGCCACCGTGCTCGTGCCCTCGAAGCTGCGCGACATGGAGACGACCACGGCCTCCTCAGCGGCGGCGGCGGCAGTGGCGGCCAGTGCCGCCCTGCAGCGGTCCCCGGCGCGAGTGCCCTCTGCGCTGGCGAATGCCGACCTGCACAGCTTTTACCTGATGCTGAACAGTGTGAAGAAGGAGCTGCTGTGGGGCCCGGGCACCGTCCTCCCCACCACTACTAGTCATGCATTCGTAGTGCGCAATGAGAGCCTGGAGCGCAGCAGCAGCGTCGCCTCGTCGCGCAGCAGCCTCAAGCACAGTCGACAGTGCTCCGACGACAGTCTGGGCAGTCTGGGCTCCACCGCCTCCAGCAGCACCTCGGACACGGACAGCGAGGCGGACAGCATGATCACCGACCGAGACAGCACCATCGACGACCACACCTCACACCTGTCGGTGGCCTTCCGCCACCACCTGCAGGGCCTGCACTCCATACTTCACCAGCTGGCAGACTCTGCCGACTACCTGTCCACGCGCTACCAGGAGGAAATCGACGCCTCGCTCCTGTAGTCAGCTCATCACTACATCTGCAGTCGCCCAGTGACCACTCACAACAGCCTGCACCTCCTGCTCACCTCTTGCAATTGTCTGCAGTGGCCTGGGATGCATGTCCCCCTTGCCTACTGTAGGGTGCTCTTTTCTCGCTCTCTCGCTCTTTCTCTTTCTCTCTCGCTCTTGCCCTCACCAGCGACGCCCCCGTCCTCTCAGTCCTCAGGCTCACAGCTGCACCAGCCCTCACTGGGTACTGCCTCTCATTGTTCCTACTGCTTCGGTATCCAATCCGACTACCGATGTCGCTTCAATGTCCGTATCACTTGTTAGCCTAATTCGCATCGAATGTATGTAATAATGTTCAATAATAATAATAATAATAAGTTATTCAGTGAAACACCCCACAATTGCCTTCACTTTGATCACTCGCNGCCCTCACTGGGTACTGCCTCTCATTGTTCCTACTGCTTCGGTATCCAATCCGACTACCGATGTCGCTTCAATGTCCGTATCACTTGTTAGCCTAATTCGCATCGAATGTATGTAATAATGTTCAATAATAATAATAAGTTATTCAGTGAAACACCCCACAATTGCCTTCACTTTGATCACTCCTTTGAATGTTGTCACTTGGCTGAAGCAATGGTGCAAACTGTCACTGAGTGGCAGCGGCTGCAGGTGACGCAAGTCAGCTCTGCATTAGCTAATGGCGCCAATTTGCCCAGTGCTCGCCGAATGCTGCTGCCGCCTTGCATCAGCGCAGTATCGCGCGCTCGGATCGATGGTTTCAAATTGGGACACAGTACTGCTGCAGTGGCAGTATCAAGCAGGAAGAAATGGACATGGACGCTTGAAGCGACAGTCTCAGCAGACGTAGGAGCACATCATATGGGAAATACTAAGGTAAAGTGAGAAATGAGTGAGTTTGTTGTTTGGAGTGTCTGTTTGCTTGCTTACTTGCTTGCTTGCTGACCACTTGCCGAAATGGTGCTCACCGCAAAGGCCGCACCGTGGACATCAGTTTGGTCGAGCCAATGGTGCTCACTGCCCAGTGGGCACCGAGTGCAGGCCATCTCTCCAGGACGGACATTGCAGTCAACTCAACTCAACTCAAGTCTGCTTTATTGGCACGTCTTTGCACTTTCTCTCTCTCTCAAGCAGTGCTCCATATGCGTTTCATTATCATTCCTTCACCGTGGCTGCACTTGTACCATAAAACCTATTTCAAATAGAGCTGCCACTATTTGCCACTGCAGCCACTTTCTCATGCAGTGGGCCATACTTTAAAAAAGCATGCACCATTGGTAAATACACACAGCGAACTGGAGCAGTAAACATTAGACAGGAGACAGCTGATTGGACAAGTGCTAAAGGTGTGAGTGCTCCGCACCTCAACCTGGGCGCAACTCAACCGAACGGCAGCATGTCATGCTCACAGGTCATGATCACTGGAACACAGCTAAACGGTTCATGGTAGTTGCAATACTAATTTGTTGAGAATGGTTTGTTATTTCAGTACAACGGGGAACTAGTACAGCTAACAGGCGTACAGTGGACAGTCGGCCTTTGGACCACAGGGGAAGGCGTCAGGGGAAATGTCCCAGGACTGGTGGCAGTGTCCACAGACGGAGCTGGCGACCACTCGATCTTCGTACATGGGCAGGCCGCTTCTTCTCCAGACCTGCACAAAGTGGTCTAGAAACTCGTCGATCATCTCAAAGGAGTGCAGCGGTGAAGGGGCGATGCGAAGTCGCTCTTCGCCCTTGCCGACAGTAGGGTAATTGATGGCCTGCACGTAGTGGCCATAACGAGTGAGCAGTTCATTACTGATCCAGTTGCTCAGCCAGGGATTGCCAATTGGAATGGGTATAATGTGACTCTTGCTAGGCATCTGGGGAATGCCCTCCTCCTTTAGGCGCATCTTGAAGTAGTCCACCTTCTTCTGGTGCGCCTCTCGCAACATTTGTCCTTCTTTGCCGCGGAGAATCTACCAAGTTTAAATAAACGAAAGTTATAATAAAGTCGTACATTAGTCATTATATTTCATTGCGTACCCTGATTGCAGTGAGAGCCCCCCGAAGTACTGTTGGAGGCAACGAAGTAGTGAAGATGAAGCCAGCAGCATAGCTTCGAATCATGTCCACGAGTGGTTTGGTGCTGGCAATGTAGCCACCCACATTGCCGAACGCCTTGCCCAGTGTACCCGAAACAATGTCAATGCTGTGAGCTACCCCGTCTCTTTCAGCAATGCCAGCACCGTGCTTGCCGTACAGTCCAACAGCGTGCACTTCATCGACGAAGGTAATTGCATTGTACTTGTGGGCAACATCGCACAGCTCTTTCACAGGTCCGATGTCACCTGAAAAAGGAAAAAATAAACGAAGGTGAGACTGTGTAAGCAAAGAGTGTACTACCGCAGTGAAGGTAACACTTACCTGACATGGAATGAACAGTCTCAAAAGCAACAATTTTTGGCAAAGAGTAGTCTACAGTTTTCAGCATCGACTCCAAGTGGACTGGATCGCAGGTGCGAAAAATGTGCTTGGGTACACCGCTGTTACGTATGCCATGGATCATCGAAGCGTGGTTTCCGGCATCAGAGAATATATGGCACCCTGTGTAAAGATATTCATTTAGAAATAAATTAACTTGTGCGTGATTCAACAAACCTGGCAGCAGTTTGGCAAGAGTGTACAGCGTTGAATCATTAGCCACAAAACAGGAGGTAAAGACAAGAGCAGCTTGTTTTTGGTGCAATTTGGCCAGTTCGTCTTCCAATTCATAATGACAAGGAGTGTTTCCGGAAATGTTTCGAGTTCCTCCACTGCCGGAACCAAAGGTTTCTACAGCATCGCTATTTGATAAAGTCGTTTAGTTATTTTAGAGCAAAAATGTAGCTAGTTTTGCATACATGATGGCCTTTTTAACTTCGGGATGAGTTGTGATTCCCATGTAATCGTTGCTGCACCACACTTTGATGTCCTTTTTGCCATCGCTAAACTCGCTAGCGTAGGGAAAGTTTTTCGCATCGCGAGCCACTTTTTTAAACACCCGATAGCTGTGATCCTTTTTCTTTTTCATAATTTGCTCTTGAAAAAAGGTCTCGTACTCGAAGCCCTCCTCTGCAAAAAGGGTGTTGGCTTAATAAATCTGCATAATGGCACTAAACAGAATCGCTTACTCTTGTTGTTGCCTTTCACTTCGCAGATATCCTGCACAATGTTTGCACTGGCAATCTTCAAGGACGGCTTCACAATGTCGAAAAATGGACAGTCCGAAACGTTGCCAGCGTAGTGGTTGCCTACAGTGTGAATGACAAAAAAGATAAAACTCCTCGTTAGACAAGGTCCATTTAGTACTGAAAGTGAATACTGTACTTGGCGGAACAGGCTTGAAGCTCTCCGCTGCTGCGGTCTGCTGCTGAGGGGGTGAACTAGCAGCGGCAGCGGCGGCCGAAACCGAAGCGCGGATGTCGTCTGAGCCATAGGACGACAATCGTCGGCTCATTACCGGGCACTTGCTGGTGTAGCTGTTCAGGACGGTGGTGGAGTACCGTGACAGGAAGCTGTATGGAAATTTATTCAAAAATGGACACGACATCTTGAAAAGACACAGTGTAACTAGACGAGAAGATAGCAAGTTGAAGAACGATGGACGTAATCGCTGAAGTAGGAGCCAGCAAGTTTAGTCTGCTGAGTAATCTTAAGATTTCTGCACAAAGTAAGAAGTGTTTTAGTCAGTGAAGGTATGCAGGTACAGTGAGTGTGCCAAGTAAAATGTAAACTTATAAATTCAAGAGAAAACTTGTTTTCTAAAAAGCCACAAAAGGTGAAGAAAAAGTGAAGAGCTCTTACAGTACTTTATCAGTACAGAAAGTCACTCGATGTAGCCGATATTTCTGAAGTAGTGATAGGATAATTGATACGGAGGGACGGTGCGATAGACTGGCTAAGCACACACGACGACGACGAGGCACTCGGCAGAACGAGGTGAAACAGTGTACGACAACACCTTTGATCAATGCTAATAAATACACACACACGCGCGCGCTCAAGCACACACTGCGGACTGCCTGTTGCGTGTCCACAACAGTAAACAGCTGATTGGAGAAGCAGCCGCACAATTAGCCTACCTGAGGATTGGAGTGCTGTGCTGTGCTCTGTGGCAATTACTGGCACGAAGATGCAACCTATTCATTCAAAAAGGACACTGCAAAGGGCTTCCACAGAACGCCGGTTACTTTAAAGGTCTTTCTGTACTGTACTGGAGTGGCAAGCAAGTAATCTGTGAACAGTGCACTCAGCCAGTAGTGCCGAGCTTATCTCCGCGGACAGGATGAACAGGCGAAAGGGATTTGCACTTGTGTGCAATAGTGCTGCTGTGTGACTGCCGCCGAACAGACACTTGTACTACTTTCGACCGGAGGTGAAGAGTGTCGGCGGTAAATTGATTGCCACTTGCTGCCTTAGCCTTGCTCTTCTGGAATGCGCACCCCCGACAATGTCTCTCCGATGTACGGTGCCTGCACTGGACAGAGCAGAGGAGCTGGAGTCGTCTATTTTCGGCTACTCGCCACCTGATTGTCACACAACCTTATCAGCCAATCACTTCTTTATTTGATTAGCGCACTATTTCTTAGGGCATTTTCGTTACGACGTTTTTTCTTACATCACATTGCGAACATCAAACGAAGGGCATGTGTGTGTGTGGGTGTTTAGTATACAAGTTTTCCAGTTTACTAGTTTTGAGTAGTTTGAAGTTGTGACCATTACAGGGAGTAATAGTTAAGTATACAGTATTTGCAGTGAATATCGTAATACAGGTGAGTACTTTGGGTTGCGTAACCATCAACGGCAGGTGGGTTACAAGCGGGGGCGGGGAGCGAAGCAGGGCGCCATGGATGATGAATGAGTTCAGGTTCCAAAAAGGCACGCAAGTTACATTCAAATGTTAGCTGCACATTTGTGTTTTATAGCCTCCAATTGTTATAGTGGTTTGGGTATCTTTCCTTCTCGCTGCGTAAAGCTTTTATGATTGAATCCTAAACAAACACAAAGGGTTAATAAATGATGATCTATGTCGTTGAGCACATTTCCAGTTAGTAATTAGAAAACGTGAATAGAAAACCACTGAAAGTGCAGCGGGAACATTCTTATGGAGTGCTAACCTTGGGTGAGAGACGCGAATCAATCTCCTTCAACTGTTCATCGAGGTTGTTCACTCCGTCGACCAGGTCCGAGTCGACATTTTCAGAGTTGAGAGCCAGGTTGCTGGGTCGCTGGCTCGTCTTAGAGACGATCATTTTGCCAAAGTCCGCTGAAAGGACGTCTGGCTTGCCTCCAGTAGCATTGTTTGCAGTGCCACCGGAGACGACCAAGCCCATTGTGCTAGCAGATCGGGTGTGTCGATTGGGAAAGCGACGTGCCAGACTTTTCTGCAGCACCGCCGTTCGGTCATCAGAGTGCTTCTGCAGGACATTCTGCAGCACCTTGATCATGGCGTCCTTCTCCACCATCTTTGACTCAGCATCCTTCAGTTTGATCTCCAGCTCAGCGACTATCTTCCGCTCCACGTGAATCTCGTCCATATGTCGTAGGCGTTCACTTCGCGCTTCAGCTATTAGCTTTTCACTTTCCAGCGAAGTTCGCTCTAGAGCGGCAATTTTGGCATCTCTGTGCAATGAAAATGATGGAGGTGAATTTGGTTGTCTCTAATTTTGAAAGTANGATCATGGCGTCCTTCTCTACCATCTTTGACTCAGCATCCTTCAGTTTGATCTCCAGCTCAGCGACTATCTTCCGCTCCACGTGAATCTCATCCATATGTCGTAGGCGTTCACTTCGCGCTTCAGCTATTAGCTTTTCACTTTCCAGCGAAGTTCGCTCTAGAGCAGCAATTTTGGCATCTCTGTGCAATGAAAATGATGGAGGTGAATTTGGTTGTCTCTAACTTTGAAAGTGAAACTTACTTTGGAGCAGAAGCGGCGCTCACTTCAATAGATCGCAAAGTACTCTCCTCCAAGTACTTGTGCTCCCATCGAGACACTTCAGCCTCGAGGCCAATAATTTTCTCATCATACTCGCGAATCATTTTCTTTAACGCATTTGCGTCCAAGTCTTTATCACCACGAGCCTCCTTATTATCAGTACTGCTCGTTCCAGTAGCATTTTGTCTTTTTAACTCTTCAATTTCCTTTTCAAGGTGAGCACGAGCGCGTTTCTCCATTTGCAGCCTTCGATCATTGGTCAGCTGCAGGTTGGACAAAGCTTTCTTGAGGAACAAGGTTTTCTCTTCAAAACCAGCCCTTTTTCGCAACTGAAACAATGGCAATTTACAATTTTAACATTTGAAAATGTCAGTAGATTTTTAGTAACCGTTACCTCAGCTTCTAGTGTTATTATGTTGTTTTGAGCATTCATCAAAGCAGTGTCAAGAATTTCAATGTGATTACGCTGCTCTTGCAAAGTCAGTCTCTGAGCCTGAAGTTCAATCTCTTGCCGATCTTTGTCAGTGATGTATTCTTTATCTGTTAAATGCAACGTTAGTTTGGCAGTAGTGGTAACAGGAAGTACGTACTTTTAGCTAAAAGGCGAGATATTAAAACATCCCGCCTGTTCATTTCTTTTTTCAAATCAGGAGTGTCTCCTTGTTCAAAATTCTGTACAATAAAATGTATATTAATTCACTATTATCAACCAGTTCATTGAACATACCTCTCGCTTCATGACAGACCCCGATTCAATTTGTTCTGTAAAGGACAATTTAATATTGCTTAAAACATGTTTGAAACTTTGATCAGTTGAAAAACTACCTTTTAGGCACTGGTTCTCTTCTTGAAGCCGTCGATTTTGTATTTCCAGCTTGTACCTTAATGCACGCTCAAGTTTTTCTTTCTTCTCCGAAGACTTTATTAATTCTTCGTGAGACTGATGCACTTTTTGTATTTCTAATTCAAACTGGCAAAAATTGAAAAAACAAATTAGCTAGTGCCATAGGATGCAAAAGTGACTAAAAGAGGGATACTTACATTTTGCAGGTTCTTCACCTTTCTCAGACAGTGCTCTAGTTGAGAGCGAAGAGCGGCATTTTCGGCTAGTATCATCTCAACGGTGTTGTTGCGATAGGGCGAGTAGGGAGAGTTGGGCTGACTGTAGGTGTAGGAGAGATTGGCTGCCACCAGATTGCCATGGCCAGAGCCATTGACGCGACCCGGGCTAGCGGCGCCCAGTTCGTCGTCTGCAAACTTGGAGAGGTCGGGATGAGATCGCGATATGGCCAATCGTTCACAGGACTTGGAGGCACTGGAGTTCATCAGAAATGCACCCCACTGCTTGTCGTACTCGGGAGGAGGGGGAGGGGGAGGTAGGGTGACGCTGTCGCCGTTGAAGTTCTTGATCAGCAGTGAGTCGTTCTTCTTCAGTGAGTTTAAGTAGTTGTTCAGCATCGGCTGCTGTAGGCTAATGGAAGCCTCGGTGCAGTTCACCGCTGTGCCTCCTTGTTCACCGGATGACTGAAAGTTTATCACAGATGGGTTGTCGAGGAAGAGTGGACTGCTGCCGTTGGGCGGCATACCTGCTTGGCCGAACTTCATCAGATTCAGATTAGAGTAAGGACTATCGCTGTCAATCACTGAGCTCAGATTATTTGCTTTCATCATTTCAGTCTTTTCGCGAATAACCGAGCGGTTGTTGCTGCCATTAACTGGTGATTGCTGTTCGCCCATTGAGTGGCTGTAGTAGTAAAAGTTTCCATTATCCGAGTTTTTCGAAATGGGCTCTTTCACTTCGGCGTAAATGTTATTATTGACAGCCGCCAATTTGCCGTAGAGGAACGGAGAAATGTAGCTGCCGATGGGACCGTTATTGTGAATGTTCAAATTGGCGCTAAATGGAAGGCCATCAGTGGCCACATTCAGGTACGTTTCCTCGCCCTGGGGCTCCTGGCGAATGCCCGTCTTGAGGACATAGTGCTCTTCAGGGGTCAAATTCTCAGTAGAAGTAGATACGTCAGTCTCACTGCCGGACGAGTGTGTCTGCTTGGCCATCGAATAGTCTAGTGGACGGAGGAGAGGGGGCATATACAGAATAATATACATTTAGACAAAGTCGGTGAAGGTGCTGGTTGGGATTGTAGTGCTAATGGGTGATACACGGGAGGACCAACTGCTTACTGGGGGTGATGGAGCCCTGCTGTTTGGGCGCAACTTTGGGGAGGCAGCAGTTGCTGTCAGCCAATGCAGTTGGAACTTGCTTTGGCTGACACGTGTTGCCGCCGTTCATGATGGCGTCGGGCGTCGGGTGTCACGGACAGTGGAACATCGAGCCAATGTTGCCAGTTGGCTGAGCTGCTGCTGCTGCTGCCGTCGCTGCGGAATGCGATGTTGGTGGAATCGCAACAAGCGAGTGTCGACGATTGTTACTTGTGTGCTGCAGTGTGTGCAGCTTGCAGCTTGGTATGCCAAGAATGTGCTGCCGCTGCTACTGCCTCTCTGCTACTCGCTGAAGGTGGCTTGCCTGCCGGGCGATTCAAGTCACTGCCACTCGGCCGACAACACACAGCCGCCTCATCACCACCACCACTGGTGATTGTGCGCCCAATGCCGGTCAACTGCTTCACTTCACTTCACTTCGATAATCAGCGCACTCAATCAGCTCACTTCCACAGACTGGGCGGAAATGATTCAGTGGTTGTGTGAGTGTGGCAGTGTCTCTCAGTTCGCAGAAGGCACCCAACACAGTTGCCAGTAGCCGTGGACGACCGTTGGACGAGTGAATACGCCACCTAGTTAGCAGTGGATGCGGCCATCCGCACCCAGCCAAGTGTCCAGTGCCAGTTAGTCAGTCAGTCAGTACTTGTGCGGATTTGGTACCACCGTCATTCGGTAGCCAATTTGAAAACGTGTGATTTATTTATTTCATTATTCTAATGCACAAATAAATATGGAAAAATACGCCAAGGGATTCAAATGGGTGAGATGTTTGTGTGGGTGTGTTGCGAGTGTGTTTATTGGGGCAGAGGGTAAAGTAAAACTTGCAGGTAAAAAGGGAAGAGAAGATGGAAGAGGAAAGAGGAGAAAAAGGGAGAGCAGAAAGGGAGAAGAGAGCTTCCTTAGAGAGAAAACGCCAACAGCAATATTTTTAAAATTCTATAAAAAATTTTTACACGATAAAATTTTTAAACGGTGACGTTAAATTAAGCTTTCTTCATTGCATTTTTAAAACTTGGTAACAACATTTTGATATCGTCCAGCGCGAGCGAGCAACGAAGTTAGAGAATGGCACACTTGCTTTTTCGCGGTGGTTTTGTCTTCTTTTCAGGATTCTTACGGTTAATTTGCCTAACAAGATCATAGAATATCTAAAAGAAACGTAAACAATATTAGTTAACAGGCAATTCGATTTACTGAGAAAAGCTTACTTCATTGACATTGATCTTTGCTTTCGCAGATGACTCCAAAAAAGCACAGTTGTTAAAGGAACGAGCAAGATTGCTTCCTTGATCTTTTCCCACAACTCGTTCCTCTTCAAGATCGCACTTATTGCCAACTAAAATCATTGGCACGTCGTCCGTGTCCTTCACGCGAAGAATTTGCTCACGGAGATCTTGAAGATCGTTGAAAGTGGATTGCGCAGTTATTGAGTATACTAAAACAAAACCTTGGCCATTTTTCATATACAAATCTCGCATTGCAGTGAATTGCTCCTGCAAGAGGGTAAAGTTGAAGTGTTTTAGATAAGTGAAATCTCAGTATTCAACACATCTACTATTTCTTACCGTTCCAGCTGTGTCTAGAATTTCCAGCATACACTGTTGCCCATCGACTTCCACTTGTTTTCGGTAACTGTCTTCAATTGTAGGATCGTACTTCTCGACAAAAATGCCTTGCACAAATTGGACGGTCTGTAAAACAGTAAAAATTGTTAAATCAGCTTGGCACAAATGAACATATGGACTTACAAGGGCACTTTTGCCGACACCGCCGCTTCCCAAGACGACGATCTTGTACTCTCTCATCTTGGCGATTGCTCAGAACTCTGCGGTGGAAAAGGAATGAGTAAGCAAGGGGCACTGACGGTGAACTTTGAGTGGATCAGCTTACAGAGCAGGAAACAATTGAAGCGCCGAGTAGGTCCGAGTTGATGAGGGACGCCGCGAAGCTATCAATCAATTTGCTGTGGCGATTGAGACGACACAGCAAGGCAGTCGGAGAGACGAATGATTCAGTGGTGCACAGGCGAAGCGGCGAGTGTTGCCACCATGAGCGGAGATTGCAGCTAGCGAGGTGTGGATGTGTGGATGTGTTTGACACAACGGCGGCTCGTGACGGCACTGGCGAACGGTGAGCTCTGCTACTTTGGCGAGGGTGATAAGCACCAGGCGAGAACACGTGCAAGCGAGGACCGGGGCCCAGACTGACTGGCTGCGCTGAGTCACTGGCAATCGGAGCTCGGGACCAGGTGCTCTTGATTGGAGATGGGCTGGCGAACAGTTAGCTAACAGTGGCTCGCTCGCTTGAGCTTGGCCTCAAAGGCGACACTTCTGGTTGTGGCTTGTCTCTGTCTGGTTGGGCGCTGCAAGGAAAACAAGGAACGACGGTTTGGGTGAACGAGAGGCACAGACAGGCACTACAGTGTTTGCTATATGCTCTCACAGCATATATCCCCTCAAAATGGCGAAGGAGGGGCCACGGCTTTCTGCTGCACTGCAGCTCTATTGTCACACTGTGCACTCCAAAGGTAGATTTGGATTTAACATTTGCCTATTTTTAAAAACTGACTAGAGATGTTTTCCCATCTCTAAAGAATACTAGACACTTCAAAGTGATTCGCTTTAAGATAGTTTCTGTTTAAATATTTTTTTGTTTCTTAAAAACTAAACTTCTAAACTGGACTGATTTTTAAAAACCAGAAAAATTAGAAACTCTCATAAAGTACGTTATGAAAAAATGACTAAAAGATTGAAGGTGCATCAGCTTTTGCATAGGATGTGGTCATTGAAGAAAAGGAGTTCACTTTTTGCAATACTAATAATATACGATCAATGATAAAGCACGAGCAAATGGTACGACTGCCTGTTGATTTGAATACTAACTTGCAACCAATATAAGTACAGATGCTGTTTTATTTCACTATCAGTCACACTGTACATTTGTGTGAGATTGAACGCATCAACAGTATTTTAATTACTGCTGAAACTGGTTGAAGCTTCAGAAGCACTCTGACAACATGGGCGAAGAGGATGGAAAGAAGCACCGAGAGAAGGACCAAACAAGAAGGCCCCAACATTTTGCAGCGCACTTTTGCAGAATTTTTCGACTTCTCAACGGACGGCGCTCTTCGCAACTAAGCATCGCATTCCTCATCTTCTTATGTGCGATCGAAGAGTTTCTCATCTACCACATCGGACTGATAAGTGCTCAATTTTACTACATTTTACTCTTGAAGGATGTGTACAAATTTTACATTCATCTGGCAATCACGCTTGCACTGATCCTCTTCATGTCCCTCATCAAATCGGCAAAAAACTACGTCGCCTCAGTGCTATACATTGAGTGGCGTGAATGCATTTCAGAGCAACTCATTACCCATTACTTTGGCGATCTGAATTACTACTTACTCAGCCAACCTGGTGATGGAAGCACTTTTGGCGGACACGATGATAAGTGGACAGTGAAGGAGGGCAAGAGGAAGGGAGCTGCACTGAAGGCACTGGACAATGTCGATCAGCGAATCAGCCAAGACGCTGATAGACTGTGTGCCGAGTTGAGCAATGTCTTATCGCAGATCGTCCTCTCTCCCCTAACCATACTCTACTACTCGGTCAAAGTCTACACCACCATTGGCCTTTTCGGTTTGCTTGCTTGCATTACCACCTTCCTCGTCTCCACAGGCATGAACAGAGCCTTCATCAAGTCTATCGTTAAGTGGACTTATCTAAAAGGCAAACACGAAGGCGACTACCGAACAGTGCTCATTGACAGCATCAAAAACAGTGAAATGATTGCCTTTGCGAATGCTGAAACAAAGCAAAAGAACCGCACTTTAGACTGCCTAAAGAGGCTAATGTCTATCTATGAGAACCTAATTTTGAGCCAATTCTTCCTCAGCCTTAGCACGTCTGTTTTCGATTATTCAGGCTCAATTCTGTCCTTCGTCATCATTGCTATACCGATTTTTGGTGGAACATTTGATCACCTGAGCAAAGCCGAACTGAGTCATACAATTAGCTCAAATACCTTCATTTGCCTATACCTGATCAACTGCTTCAGCAAGGTACTCGATATATCATCCAACTTTGGCCAAGTTAATGGATTCGGCTACAGAATCACCGAGTTGTTGGATTCTTTTAAGGAGAATAATCGACAAAAGTTTGACTATTCAAACACTTTAAGTAGCGAATCGCCAGAGCTTCTAATGCAGTTTTCTGATGTACATGTTATAATGCCATCGAGCACAGACCAACAGCTGTGTGCCATAAAAAAGTTGAGTTTTGAAGTAAAAGCAGGAGAAAACGTGCTCATAACCGGTGACTCTGGCCAGGAGAAAACAGCTATACTACGCATCATTAAAGGTTTCTGGCCAATTTCCAGTGGCAGCATTAAATGTCGCCTAAACTTGAATGATAGTCGCCAGGTCATGATAGTGTGCTACAACTCAAAGCTACAAAACTTTTTTCAACAAGTACGTATTTACAGCCAGCCCACTTGACTCCGCTTACTAAATGTTTTTTTCGTGTCCACCAACAGGAAATTACGGAAAACTGCCTAGTTAAAGGCAAGGTAATTCAGTACTGTGAAAAGTACTCATTGAACGTAAATCTAGAGTCGAAATGCGGGCAAGCATCGACCAGTCTCACCGTCGGGCAACAGCAGTTACTCAACTTTTTCATTGTTTTTTGTTTGCGACCACGACTGGTCTTTCTTGAGGAGGCGACCAACAGCTTAGATAACCTCATGTCAGAAACTCTGTATAAAGAGTGTGCTGCACTGAGTATCACTGTGGTTACAATTGCTAGCAACGACAGTCTGGCCAAGTTTCATACTCGATGCATTCGCCTGAACGAGCACTTTTCATAAAATAATAATTATTCAAATACTACACTTTTTTACACAAATCAGTGCTCATGCAAAAACTTGGCAATAGTATTCTTAATCTTGAGACGAGCCTCCTTCAGCGACTGTGGGTCAATGTCCGAGTCCGGGTACATGTCGGCGCAGTGAGACGTCTGAGGGATGATCAACGGCTGAGCAGTAGGGCTGATTGGGTGGAGGACACCCAGGGCGTGCCAGGGGTCAATGAGACCGTTGGGAAAAAGGACATTGGAGAGCGTCAAGTTGAATCCGCCATAGAAGCTGTTGGTAAAGTCAATTGACTTTTCGATAAAGTGCTTATTGAACTTGCTGCCGAATATGTCAACACACTGCTGCACGAAAAAGTCACTTGGGAAGTAGTTTCCAAAGGGCTGACTTGGATAATCGCTAGACTGGAAGAATCCAAACTCGGTGCACGTTTGGTATGTCCACAAACGCCCTAAAAAGGGAAAAAAAGACAGGTGAGATACGAGGACTTGCGTATGAGTATGTGTCTGGGACAGACCGGCAACTAACCTGCAGAAGCATTGTTCCACTTTTCCTCAGACAAACTCTGGATGAAATTGTCATATTTGTAGTCAAGACAGGAGAGGTTATTTGCATTGAGGAGAATGCTGTTGACATTGGCAAAACGTTCGATGGAGGAGCCGCCGCCGACATTGGTCATTGCCGAGCAAACCACATCAATGGTGATGTTTGTTCCTGTTGCACCCTGTGAAGTGTTTCAAAAAGTGGTCATTCGTACAGTGCAACAACTTGCAGTTTTCAACTAACCTCAAACTTTCGATTGTCCTTGTTGTATTGCACCACGCCTTCAAAATTACCCGCCAAATTGCCCACTAAATTTGATACGTCCAACTTCTTGGTGGCATCCAGAGGGTCACACAGCTGAAACAGCTGGTTAATTTCCTTCCATCTAGAAGATGTGCTTAAAAGATTGCCCAACTCATTAACAGCAGAACGGATTTCGCTGACGCATTGTGAGCCCAGTGAAGCATCTACCACTTTCAAGTATTGATCAAAGTTGAGAATGGCTTGAACGGGGGCGCTTGATGCAATGGCACCGGAAATGAGATGCGGATACTTAAGACGGAGCCATGCTGCGAGACTGCCCGAATAGGAGCCCCCAAAAACGATCCACTTGTTGTTGTTGGAAAGGTTGTGCTTGCGCTTGAAAAACTCGATAAAGGAGGCTGCGTCTTGCAGTGCCTGCTCGCTGGTGAGGTACTTTAAATTGGCAGTAGACATGTCACTGGTGAGAAAAAATTATGGTCAGTCTGGAACTACTACCCAAATAGTCGTGCTGGTTTACCTGGTGGGGTGTGACTTGCCGTAGTATCGGTGTTCGATCAACACTTGCGCTGCCTTAAAGTGCTTTGCGTAGTTGGTGGCCACCTGGCCCTGCTCCAGCCAGACGGGACTTGCTTCGCCTTCGCCGCCCAGCTGCAGAAACACCGGAGAGTCGGAGTTGCGGTCAAAGTACTTCATAGACACGAAGTAGCGCTGCTTCCAAGTGTCCGTATTTGTTGGATCAAAATGATCGAGACGCTGATCGAACCACTGCGCTGGAATCGATGAGTCGTAGTAGGAGACATTGCTCACCGGTAGTCCCAGAAAGCCATACTTTCCCACTGGCCGTCCTCGAATGAGGCGAAAACCTGAGGCCACTGGAGGGCAGGCTGACAAGCAGACAATGGCACCAAGTAGGAGCCAAGAAGCAAGAGTTTTACTGTCCATGATGATTGAATGGCAACTCACTAGTCCGACGCACCAATCGGCGGCTCAATTTAAGCTTTCCACACATTGCAAGTTAGACCACTCAAGTCGACTGATACGGGTCAAATCTTGAACGAGCACCAAATCCTTATCTATCATAACATCCATCAGCTATTGATGAACGCTACTAGCTCAGTTGTGAGGCATAAACATTGTCAGTAGTAACGTTCACCATGAAGTGAGTTTGAAGTGTCACTTCTACACTGTGCGTTGATAAGGTAGTAAAGGCACATTTTAATTGACAAACTGCATTTGGTAGCTTATTTCACTTGGAAATGAATAAAATCTCTAAGTAACAATTAATTAAAGAGCATCTAATAGTGAAGAAAATATGCACACATTAGACACAAGCAACTTTTAATTAAGTGTACGGTCCTGAAGGAAAGTATCCTGAAGGAAAGAACTAGAAAGCGCTCAACTGTTATCAAAGTGCCATCAATTTCAAACACGACACGTCATTTGCGAGCACTTTTGCTATTCTGGGGCGGAGCTAACTTCTAACATACAACAAACTACAGAGGTAAAAAGTCTCTCTTCTCTGGCAGACAGAGCTGCGTTGCGTATCACTTCGCTCAATATCTCTTTTTGCCTTTCTCATTCTCTCCATCGAGCTAGATCTGCCTTTTGTATTCTAAATTTGCCAGCCCAATTTGCCAGGACGAGGATTGAATTCTTTGTTCCGTCTTTCCCCTGCATGAATGATCATTACAATCACAGATATCTTTGTTGATGGCCGACAGACATCAGACAAGGCCAAAGAGCGAGGGCACTCTATCTTCGTCTGTTGAGCAGTCTGAACGAGTAAACAAATCCCGTTCCCCCATTATAACGAGGTACTCAATCTATCTTGAGGCTTTTATATTCAAAGATTTAACGCTTCAATTCTATAGATCCAGGTCCCGTGGTGGAGACGAGGTCCCTGAGAATAGTGCCACTCGTCGCTCGAAACGCACTGTCAACAACAACACCATTGAGAATAGTAGTCAAATTCAGCCGAAAAAGCCCAAGGGTATGTGTGTGCAATATTTTCCTAAATGACGCAATACTCACACCCAAGTTTTCTTTATTAGTGGACACAAACACAGTTCAAGCAAAGAAACCTAAGCCTAAAGCTAGCACTTCACAGGATCCGATTGCATCATCATCATCATCAACATTAGCATCATCATCGTCATCGTTCTTATCTCAGAAAACTCTAGCTCCAAACAAAAAGCAGAAAAAAGAGACAGAAGAAAAAAAGACGGGTTCATCTCTTGGGACTAGCAAGAACTTGGCAACTTCTAAATCTTCAAAAGCTAGTTCCAAGCAGTTAACCAAGTCTGCTTCTCTTGAAGAAAACAGCGAAGCTAGGCAGGCCAAGTCACTGGTGATGGATCAAAATGGAGCCAACTCATCGAACAACAATACTACCAGCTCTTCGGCCGCTAACCCCAACACCTCTGGTACTAGCAGCAATGTTCCCACATCCTCCAGTGATATTGCCACCACTGGTAGTGCAGCTAACCCTACTGGTGGACCGGGCAATTTGTTAGCTAGCAGTAACAACAGCACTTTCGCTGTCAGCGCCCAGCTGGATGCCGAGTCGGACGATAGCGACATGAGTCGACTTCAGACTATTCTCGAGTCTCGTGGTTTACATCCTCACTTTCTAGGTCTGCCTAGAATGCAAAATTTTTTCTATCGTTCGCTGAACAGTACGTCAAACTCGAAAGCCCAGCAACTTCTGCAAGCCTTGAACTCGACTACCAATGATGCTGAAAAGCTCAACTACGTTCTCGAGATGTGCCAGCTCTTGCTCATGGGCAATGAAGACACTTTGGTTGGCTTTCCAATCAAAACGGTAGTTCCCACTCTAATTAATTTACTCTCAATGGAACACAATTTCGAAATAATGCATCATGCCTGCCGTGCGCTGACCTACATGATGGAAGCCCTTCCGCGCTCCTCTGTTGTCGTACTGGATGCTGTTCCCGTCTTTCTAGAGAAGCTTCAAGTTATTCAGTGCATGGACGTTGCCGAGCAGTCTTTGTCTGCGCTTGAAATGCTGTCTCGCCGCCACAACAAGGCCATTCTTCAGGCTCGAGGTGTGTCTGCCTGTCTCACTTACCTGGACTTTTTCTCCATTGACGCCCAGCGCTCAGCTCTCACTATCACGGCCAATTGCTTTCAAAATATCACCACAGATGACTTTCAGTATGTGCAGGACTCTCTGCCAATTCTCAGCTCTCACCTCTCAATCGAAGACAAAAAGTGCATCGAAAGTATTTGCCTGGCCTTTTCACGTCTTGTAGACTGCTACCAGCAGGACTGTGCCATCATCAGCGAAATCGCCTCATCAGAATTGCTGACAAACATTCAAAGTGTGCTAATGACCGTACCGCCCATTCTTAGCACTGGCTCCTTTGTCAACGTCATTCGAATGCTCTCCATCATGTGCAGCAGTTGCTCACAGATATCAGTAGAGCTACTGAAACTTGGTAAGTGCACACTTGTTCACCTATGAGCATCGAGTTGTAACCATCTACTTTTCTAGACATTTGTTCAACTCTCAAGTGTTTGCTACTCTGCAACAATAGCGCTGTAGAGAGTGGCAATGCTATTAATCTCATTTCTCGGAGTCCTCAAGAGATATATGAACTAACTGCCTTTATTGCTGAACTGATGCCAAGCTTGCCGTCAGATGGAATTTTTGCCGTTGACCAGTTGTTCACCAAGGCTAATCAAGGTTTAGCCGAAGTCGCTCAGTGGCAGTGGAAGGATGATCGTGGTCTCTGGCATCCTTTCAATGTGGTCGACAATAAGATCATTGAATCAGCTCACCACGCCGGAGAGGATGAGCTTGAGTTGGCCAGCTTAAATCGCACATACATAATCGATTTCAACTCGATGCAGAAAATTTACGAAGATACTGGAAACTCGTATGCTATTCAGCGAAAGGTTAATACTTTGAGCAATTCTGAGCTAGCCTCTCGTCCTGGCCTTTCAAATGTGCAAAATGTTGATCCTCGTTCGGAGTTTATCTACAATGAGCAAGAGTTGTCATGTTCATACTTGATGTTCATTTTCAGTGTTCTCAATGAGGTGTACAACAATTCAGCAGGATTTTCCGTTCGCTACAAGTGCCTGAATGCCATTCTACGAATCATCTACCACACACCAAAAGATCTTCTGTACTCGATTTTGAAGGATCAGTCTATGTCCAGTTCTATAGCTACAATGCTCGCCTCTTCGGACATTCGAATTGTCGTCTGCGCTACTCAAATGTGCAACATTTTGATGGAAAAGATGCCTGAAGTTTTCAGCACCTACTTTCAGCGCGAGGGAGTCATTCATCAAATTCGGAAACTTTATTCTGAAGAATCTCGTTTCACTATGTCAACTGAAAAGCCTATTGAACCTTTGCCTGAATCGAAACACTCTAGCACTATAGTCTTTTCAAACTCTCATCAACTCATTCTTGATAACGCACACCTCTTTCTCTCAAATCGTCATGTAGCGAGTGATTCTTTCTCTCAAATCGAGTACATTGCACCAAACAGCATTTCTTCTTCTTTGGTGGCTGCAGCTGCTGCCGCCGCCGCTGCTGCATCTACTCCGGCTTCTGCTCCAGTTCCCAAAACTTCAAACCCAGCTCGTCAAAATTCTGCTCCTGATCAGACAGCTCGGTATGTGTGTCCTTTTATGAGTGTAAACAAGTTCACAAAGTAATTTTTAACTNAACCCAGCTCGTCAAAATTCTGCTCCTGATCAGACAGCTCGGTATGTGTGTCCTTTTATGAGTGTTAACAAGTCCACAAAGTAATTTTTAACTTTTTTTTACAGAAGTGACGACATTTTAAAGCGAAAGCGAACCAAGAAAAACTTTGGCCTTTCCAGTGGCACTCGCTCAAGCTCTTTGAACAGTGGCTTTGATCATACGCCAATCATTAGTCCGGCCGCAGAAAATGGAGGGGGCAATGTGGAACAACAGAGCTCCAGTTCTTCGGTTGCTGTTAACCCCCCAGTTGCAGCAGATGTTGCCCAATCGTATGTCAATTTTCCACTTTTCATCTCTAATGATCAAGTGAATAATGCTAATTTGACTATACCTAACGCCAGCAACAATAACAACGCCGTCAGCAATGGTGGCAGCAGCAAAGGTGGCAGTACAAGGCTGACTTCAAAAGATTTTCTTCAGCGTCTCAATCCTTCCAGATGGACTCGTTGGACGCAAAATTCTTTAGCGCAAAATACCACCAACACGACTAGTGCTCCCACTACGTCTACTACAACGCCCAGTGCAAAAAATCCGCCGTTGCAGCAAAAATCCTCACACCTGAACAAGGAAAAGATCAAAGCGTGGATTAAATCGCAGGCCAAGTTGTTTGACGACAAGTACTTCTTGAAAGTGGACAAAGAAACGAAAACTCAGAGTGTGTCTTGCAACGTGCTAGACGACCTGACCGAGTCCATCAACTCACTTGGAACTGACGTGACTAAAGCACTATTGACCATTAAGCAAATCTTACTTGAAACTGACTTGTCTTCTTTTGAGCTGATTCATAGTGGGCTTGTAAAAAATCTGCTCAGTTTCCTCGTCGGGGCTGATTGCTCAGAAGATGTTCGTGATCAAAATTTGCGCTCCTTTCTGAACATCTTTTACGGTGCTCCGTTGAACGACATCATCGAAAGCATTGATGAGCAAAAGTTTGATCCCAAGCCACTCTCAATTTTAATCAACAAGCTCAACGCTTGCGTATCTCAGCTTGAACAGTTTCCACTTCGAGTGCACGACTATGCCAACAGTCGAGGCGGCTCACATGCCAAGTTTTTAAGCAGTCACCACATCAAAGTCAGTCTGAGCCGTCATTCGTCTTGTAGCAATATAAAAAAGTACAAGGGTCCTCTAATCAAGCTCGACCCATTCACTCCTGTGCAATCAATTGAGCGCTTTCTCTTGGCCCGTGGTTACGGAAAAATCAAAGATGTCGATGATGACCAAAGCGATGATGACATTTCGGATGAGGATTTAATCGACAATATCACCAACTTTGGATCTGCTAGTCAAGCTCAAGGAAGACATCGTCTTCAACTGCTCATTAACGACCAGGTGCTACCGTACAACTACTCGATCTTTCAAGCCATCAAGCAGTTCATGATCAGTGATCACCCGGACACTGATTCGGACGACCCTCAGGTGGGCGCTGCAAAGAACATGTCAAACCACACATTTAATATTCAATACCGATTGGCGACTGAGAGCGCTCCGGTCGCCAGTGCAAATGCATCCTCTACTAGTAGCTCCTCTTCAAACAAGTCATCTCGAAAGACTAAGAGCTCCAAATCGGCCACCAAGAAGAAGGATGAAATTTGGTTAGAAGGAAAGACGGCCAAGGCCATATCACCTCTTGAATCATATCTCAAAAGTAGTCTTTCATTTACCACTCCAATTAACGATCAGTCAATTGAGGTTCTCTGCCTCTTGCGAGTCCTCTTCGGAATTAATCGCTACTGGGGCTATCTCTACAAGGTGCCACATTCGTATAACCCAGCTATTCCGCTGAAGGAGTTCATCAACTACAAGCTCACCGTGAAGGCCAATCGTCAGCTTCAGGATCCAGTGGTCATCATGGCCGAATCTCTACCCAACTGGCTTTCAGAGATTGCCAACGCCTGTCCATTCATCTTTCCCTTCGACACACGTTATTTGCTCTTTTACGTTGTCTGCTTTGATCGTGAACGTGCCCTTCAGCGTTTGCTAGAAAACACACCCGACTTTTCGTCACTTGATTCTCGTGAACGCTCCATTGTGCCTCGTCTCGAGAAAAGAAAGCGAATCGTTTCGCGGGCTGATATCTTCAAAAGTGCCGAAGCCCTCTTCAACGATCTTAGCGGCTCGAAGTCTCTCTTGGAAATTCAATATGAAAATGAAGTCGGTACAGGACTTGGTCCGACTCTCGAGTTTTATGCTCTTGTTTCAAAGGAGTTTCAGCGCTCAGACTTTGAAATGTGGCGTGGGGAAGTGCTGGCCAACTGCGAATTCAAGCAGGAGAAAAATGATGCCAATCCAGTCAACTACGTATTCTCCAGCAATGGCCTCTTTCCAGCGCCTCTAGGTAGAAGTACCAAGCCTGCTGTGGTGAACAAGCTTAAGCAGCGTTTCAAGCTGCTTGGCAAGTTTATGGCCAAAGCTCTCATGGATTCAAGAATGGTAAGTAGTTTTCTCTGTTCAACTAAATGTGTGCCAATTTTAAAACTTTTCCTTCCTTGCCATAGATTGATATTCCATTGAACATTTTGTTTTACAAGTGGCTTCTCAACGAACAGCCAACCATGAATGTCGCAGATATTCAGCAGCTGGATCCTACATTTTCTACATCTATTTTTCAAATGTACAAAATTCTATTGCGTAAATCTAAAATGGTAATGATGCACATCTTTTAGGGGGCATTACTTTGTTTAACTGTTTTTTCAAAATCCACAGAACCTGAACAATAATGACGATTCGCTGAAGCTGCATGGCTGTTCTATTGACGATTTGAATTTGGATTTCACTCTTCCGGGCTATTCTAGTATTGAGATGCGAAAAGGGGGTCGTGACATGTTGGTGACTGTTTTGAATCTCGACAACTACATCAACCTGGTCACTAGCTGGCTGCTGATTGAAGGTGTGCTGAAGCAAATGGAAGCATTCAAGGAAGGCTTCAACTCTGTCTTCAACTCGTCACACCTTCGACTGTTTTATCCCGAGGAAATGCAGCAGCTTTTCTGTGGTGCCAGCTACAATCGTTGGGACGTCAAAATGCTGATGGAGTCCTGCAAAACCGACCACGGGTTTTCGCACGACAGCAAGGCGATTCACAATCTCTTTGAAATTCTAAGCTCTTACAACGCCGAGGAACAGCGTAAGTTTTTGCAGTTTTTGACCGGCTCACCTCGTCTTCCCATCGGCGGCTTCAAAAGTCTAATTCCACCGTTCACCATTGTGCGCAAGACAAACACCACCGAGAGCGACAATCCCAACTGTCTGCCAAGTGTGATGACATGCGTCAACTACCTGAAGCTTCCCGACTACCCAACCATTGAAATAATGCGCGAAAAGCTTAAAATCGCCATTAATGAAGGCCAATTTTCGTTTCACCTCTCGTAATTCTGATCTCCCCGTATTCAGTGTCCCTTGTGTACATAATTACCTTCTACCCGGCAATAAATGCAATGTATACACCCGATGCGACGTATAGCACATGTAATGCCCGGCACTTACCACTGAAAGACACCCCTCTCCCCCGACACCACCTAGACAACACACCAGTGTGACAGTCCTATGCTATTTACATTATTCTTTTCTTTTCTCTAAGTTTATTTCACTGTGATTTCACTGATATTTAACGAAATTCAATAAATAATTTTACACAAAATAACTTGGGCCAACTTTTAATCGGTATCACTGCTGGTGAGAACTAAACTTTTACACTTGTAATACTTGTTAAAATCAATGCTGAAACAAAGCTCCTGCAGGTCGTCCTCTTCCGTTTCGACAAGAAGTTCAAGAAAACAGACAATTTCTTTGTGAAACAGTTTAGAAAAGTGAATCAACCAAAAATTATACTCTGCTTCAATGTCTTCCTCGAAAGGCTTGGTGATTTCGGTCCACTCGCCTTTGGTTTGCAAGAAGGGGGTTTCGGCCATGTTGCTGATGAAAGTCTCCAGCTTTTTAATGAAGCAGAAGATTTGGTCCGAGATAATACTGAACTGACTGGTTAGAGAACCAGAAGTGGAGTTTTCGAAAAACAGTCGCTTGACTATGTTCTGTAAGAATACTTGGTGTCCCTTGATGAGTTTATCCAAATTGCGGGGATGATCAAGTTCATTTTGGATAAGTGTCCACTTGCTTTCCAGAATGTAGTTGAAGTAGCGCTCAATGGTGTTCACAAAAGATAGTATCTGGTACACGTTGAAGTTGAAGTGGTAGAAGATGGTTCGTAAGCTCGTCGGCATGTTCTTCAAGCTGCCCATCTGCAGTTTCAGTGTTATCCAGCATTGATTCAGAGAGAAGTGCATTCGCTTAATTTTCCAAAAGAGCATGAATATGCGCGAATAGATGGCCTGGCTTTGCTCATTGAATATCGTGCTGATTGGTCCATCAACGCGATACTTGAGAGTGAATATGTTCCAGCCAGTTTGATTCTGCAAGCTTTGTTCGAGAAAGATGTCAATTCGGTTAAGGACTTCACTCGAGTCGTGCTGTGCGTTTGTTTTGCAAATAGCATTTTCCAGCGTCTGCGATAAGGTGTACAGATTCAACTTGTTCGCCGGCCTGTTGATGATTGGATAGAGCAATTCCATGAGGTAGTTGATGAAATCGCCCTGCTCAAAAAGAAGATATCTTTTATGGGCCAGAAAGTGGCCGTGCAAATTGTATCGAGCGTTTAGAATGTTCAACGCAGTTTGGCTCATCTCCTTGTACACGTATTCGAGAAGACTAGCGAAATCATTGGAGTTATTGAAGTGTTGCGTCCGATCAAAAAGCGTTTCCAGGTTCGAGTTCTCAAAAGAATGCTTCAGCTGGTCGTAAACTGGAAGAACGACAGCCACTTTAGTTGAGCTTACTTCGCGCAGCATTGAGATGGCCTTTCCTGTGATCAGTATTTTGTAAGCCTGCTCTTTGCTGATGAATCCCGGTAGCATGGCCTTGTTGATGGAAAACTTGTCGTGCCAAAATTCGTTGCTGAGCGAAGTGGTGATGTTAAAGTTGTCGTTCAGGCAAATGAAAAACTCCTTATATTCATCTTTTAGTTCGCCGAAAAATATCCAGTGGTTTAGCATTGCGCGGATTGGTTTTACCACTTTGGAGAGAATAGTGCGAATTGATTCGCATACGATTGGATCCCCATTGTGCAAGAAGTCGTAGACAACACTGATGAGGGCTCCGCCTTTTTTCGTACGGCACTTGGCAATCAAGTTTGATAGTGCTTCAAAGCGAAGACATGTTTCATATGTCCAGACATTCAGTTTGTGCAAAGTTACTTCGGAATGGCTTCGGTAGTGGTAATTACTTTGGATGTTGGTCATTAGCTCGTAAAAGTCGTTTATCTGCTCGTTTAGTGCTGACCCGAAGCTTTGGCAAACGAAACCTTTCGATGAATTGTTCATAATCGTGTTACTGTAGGCTTTGATCGACTTGAAGTGCTGTCCCAGAACGGACAGGCGTTTGGCAAAGAATATGTCATTTTCATCAAACAGATCGTATTGACCGAAATTAAATGTAAACTTTTCATTAGAGTTGAAGCTGATGTGTTTGCCAGGTAGGCCCTGAAAGACAATGATCAGATCTCGAGCAAGCAGGTTGTACTTGGTGGCGTAATCGGGAGTCACATCGCCGTGAATCGTGTGCGGTCGCGGGACATTGTTCGCGCCCATTTTCCTTCCAGATGTAGAGTACATCTTGAAGCAACTCTGAAGGTGGTAATGTCAGTTGACTTCAGGTATTGATGATGACTGTTAATCATGGCACAAAGTAGAACTTTTCAAGCTGCCACTCACTTCCAAAATAGGTCCGTTGCTTTTAGCAAGTTGCTTAGTTTGTGTGCCATTCACTCTATCTGTGGACAAGTTTGAGGGGCAGTCAAAGAGAAAAATAAGTTTACTGTTGGCAGTGTTTCGCCAACTTTGTGGAAGGGACTCCCAGAGGGCAGTGCAGACCTGTCGTTGTGCTGCTGTGCTGCTGGAAAAAAGTCTTGAGGCCAAGCAGACCGTGAGAGTGCAGTTTGTCTTTGTTGACGCTTTCTGTAATCTTCGTCATTTATGTCACTGAACCAATTCCGTCTGCTGACACTTTTGCACTAGTTGATTGTCTCCGATAGCAAGTCTCGCAATGGAAGCCCAACAAGATGGAACAGACCACGATGAGGTTATCACCCGTTTTATCGGCATCACAGGTAAACAATGTTTGTTTTTTATTGAATGAACTACTTTCATCATCATCTTGTTTCATCTTTTTCTTCAACTTTAGGTGCCGAAGAAAACATTTCCAAAAGTTTGCTTGAAGCATGCAACTGGGACGTAGAGATGGCCGTCAATATGTTCTGCGACTCCAATTTCTCAGCTTCCACTTCAAACTCTGCATCCACTTCAGAAAGAGCTCGGAACAATCCTGATCAGGCCATAGCAGCTGAACCAATGAACACGTAAGATGATCACGTCTATTCTTGAAGACTTTTCTTTCATATTTGCAATCCTGTTCAGAGATGCTGAAGTTCGACCACCCATACCTCCTGTTCGTCAGGTTTTGGTTGACGACTATCAGGGAAACCCTTATAGTTATCGCCGCAACAACTTTGACGGTTTTCGCAACTACGAGCAAGAGACACGTTAGTACTTTGTGCCACTTTTACTATTTTTGCTATTTTGGATTTATTTTTTAGGGTGGCAAGAACAACGTTTAATGGAAGAAAGTGCTGGTCCGTCTTCATCTTCTTCTGAAAACACTAGGAGCAAAACTTTTGAAGATCTCTTTCGTCCTCCACTTGATCTGATTTACAGAGGAAACTTCGATATGGTCAGTATATTTTGTATATGTTGTGTATTAAAACAATAAGATGATTTTTGTTTTAGGCAAAATTCGAAGGTCAACGAAAGAATATGTGGCTAATGGTCAATATTCAAAATCCTCAAGAGTTTGCTTGCCAAGTTCTTAATCGCGATGTTTGGAGTAATTCAACTGTAAAGAGCATCTTGAAAGAGCACTTTATTTTTTGGCAGGTAAAATGGTTAGATCAATGTCATTTCAAACAAGTAATAAAGCATCTTTTGTCTATTCAGAGCTATAACAATACTACAGAGGGCCAAAAGTATATTAATTTTTACAACGTCGCCACATTTCCCTATGTCTCAATTGTGGATCCAAGAACTGGTATGTCGAAGTAAATGTTTGAATAATAAAATTTAATACTTGTCATTTTTTCAGGCGAAAAGATGATTAGCTGGCACGAAGTTGATACAATTTCTTTTTGCGAAAAAGTGACTCAATTTCTTCTGGAACACCCTAGCCCAGGCCCAAAAGACTCAACTAAGCCTCTAATTTTGCCCGAAGTAAAAAACAAGGTGATTACCAATATTGTAATATGCGTAGAGTGGTTTTTAACAAGTAATTTCAGCCTTCAAAAGAAAGCTTTGAAGCTAAGCAAATAAAAGCGGCAATTAAAGCCTCTTTGGATAAGGGCCACAGCAGTTCAGACGATTCTATTTCAAGTACGGACGATTCGGACGATGATGCCTACGAAACACCGTCCCAAGCTGAGAACGAGAAAGAGGACTGGAAGAATTTCTTGGGCAGCGATGACAGTCCTAAAGTGGAAATCGTCATTCGCTATCCTAATGGAGACCGCGAAAATGTCATTTTCCCCTCTTCGTCAAAAATGAAGGTAAAATGCAACTGGCTTACTAAAACCACTTTTACATTTACACTCTGTTTTTACCAATCAGGCTTTATTGCTCTATGTGGCAGAAAAGGGCTTCAACATGGAAGAGTACGATTTAATTACTAATTTTCCAAAGAAGAACCTAAGTTCAGTTAACGAAGATGAAACTTTGGAAAAAGCAGGTATTCATTCCAGAGATCTTTTGTATGTACAGATGAAGCATTAGTAGTTGAAAAAAAATGAAGTTGTATTATAAATAACTTCACTTGTACTGCATGTTGGAATTGTGTATATAAAAATATTGATAAAACAATCAGATTTTTAAAGCGCCATTTTCCTTCCTTCTATGCTAATTGGCATAGCGCTGTTGGCCTTGTTCATCTTTTTCATCTCATTAAAGTTGCGTAAATGCTTTTCGAATCGACTGATGGTCTTTTTCGAGGAGCCTCGTGTCATGTCGATTTCAATTTTGGACTTTGGACGTACAACATAATCCTTCATCGACGGCATAGGAACGCGGGCACGCGGAACCCAGCCCTTTTCTCCAGGCTTTAGGGCACTAATAGAAACAAAAGTTGATAAGCTTAGAGCATATATCAAAATCGTTGTGAAAGCAACAAACCGTTCATCCGTCTTGGCAACTTTGGGGCTAGGACCTTCGCCGGCATCAGATTGCCTTCGCTTGAAGTTGGACATGATCTCAAAATCGCGCTGCTCTCGCTCTTCGCGGGTAATTGAGTGAAAGTCAGTGTCTAAGTTGAAAATAGGCCTTGACCAGTGGGAAATTAGTTTGCTTGCAATCTTCTTATTTTCGCGCGTTTCTTTTGGATGCTTGAACAGGTACATGACCGCTTTTCCGACACCGCTTGCCTTGATTCGATCAATGTCATCAATATTGAACTGTAAAGCAAATGTTTAGAACACAAAAATAAGGAAGTAATGAAACACATACATCTACGAGAAACTTGAGAAGTTTTTCGCGAATTTGCAAATGTGGCAAACTGCCATCAGGAAGACGAGTCAGCCAGTCGGTAATCACGCCAAGGATTCCTGAATCGAGAAGTGCTTCGCGAAGGTCAATTTTCTTTAGCTGCGCATCGACAACTGGAAGCAATTTCAGCTTGCGAATTGCTGCTTTGTGGTTTCGATTCAGCTCAAAGTCCTCCTGTAAATATGAAAAAGTTGTTGTAAATAAAGTATTTACATCCTTAAAAACTATTTAGCACATACCTCAGCGGCCTGTTTCATCTCGTGAATCAGTTCGGCAATGACATCATCACTATCGTTTATTATGTCGATATTCTTCTTCCGTCTTTTTCGAGAGTTGATCTCTTTTCGTCGCTGCATCATGAGGTCAAAATCATATACAATTCCACTAAAGTAGAAATAAAATTGAATTACATTCAATTCAAATCTAATAACAAAACATACGATCTTTCATTTTGCTCGGGATCATTATCGGACTCGTCATCACTTCCAGAGGCATTTTGAATGACCTTCTTCTTTTCTTGAATCTGTTTATCAGGCTCTTCCTCGCCGTCTGAAGAAGAAGACTGTGACAACACTTCATCCTCGTCGCCTCTATTGTCGTCGTCATTTTCTTGTTCTTTTGGAGCGTCATCTTCTACAGTTGCAACATCGCCACCAAAACCCTAGGATTCACAATAAATTTAGCATTTTCATTTCTGCAAATAGTTTTAGTGTTTACCTCAAATTCTCCATCGCTTTCATCACTTCCATCATCGCCGAAGATGTCCCGGACCATGTCCTGCTCTGTGTCACTCATCTATCAGTAGAACAATAATAATTTAGAAGTGGTGCTCAATAAAATTCAATGATAATGGTTTTTACCTTTACTTTTAGTTTGTTGTCTGCGTGTTCAGTATGACGGAGATGTATTGAAACAGTTTCAAAGTTCCAAAAATGCAAGACAGGAGTTTAGCTGAAGTTGAGGTGAGTTACCAAAATAAACAGATCAGGTGCTGCGTTTCTCAACGAGTTCTATTTTCCTGAGTTACTCAGAGTAGCAATAGCACCAGTAGTGCCCCCTGTGAGTGAAAACAGTAAGCTTCAAGCTTGTTAATGTTTTGATGCAGAGATAATCTTTTACGGTACAGCTTGCTGAAGAATCAACGAAAATTCTCAGATGAAGATATCATAAGATGCAAAAGTCTCGTTCATCATTCACTCACCTAGTGAGTGTTCCATTTACTAATCCTGAATTTGTTGCTAGTTATTTACACTTTAAAGATACAGTCCTTAAAACATTTAGAGACTCTGCCGGTATTGACGATTCGCTATTTCAAAATGCCAAAAAATTGCACCTTACGGTATCAGTCTTGACTCTAGAAAATGATGAAACTTTGAAAAAAGCTGGAGACCTTTTGCGACAAGTTTGCAGTTCTTTTATAGCTAGTGAACCTGTAGATTTGAGAAGTAAACTACAAATTAAAAGTTTGGCTTCTATGAACGCTGATTCAACCCGAACAAAAGTACTTTACGCCATGGTGGAAGATGATCGTCTTCAAGCACTGGCTGACAAAGTTGCCACAGAAATGACATCAAGTGGCTATGTTTTTAAAGACGACAAATCTGCTGGTCCTGTGAAGTTGCACATTACCTTGATGAACACTGTTTTCGCGAGGAGAAAAGCCATGAGAAGTCGGAAACGAAAAACCGAAAGTAGTTCGGTTCCTAAAAGTTTTGACAGTACCCAGATTCTTGAGCACTACAGAGACTTTGTCTTTGCTGACATTGATTTTCCGCCAATTCAGCTGAATGATGTACGATTAGAAAGTGAAGATGGCTACTACAAAGTTATTGAATCAGTAAATTTTTGTTGAATTTAGAAAAAGTGCTTTACAAATGATTTTTAATTTGAAGTATTGCTAAATGTACAGAAGTATAAATAAATGTTTTTTCTTTAATATAAAGACTAGACGTACAAAGACAATGTGCAATGATATTTCTACTAATGAGTATCAAGATTTTCAAACTTGAAAATCATGTTTTTCACTCCAATATCCTCCTTAGTGGGACTACTATCACAAACAAGTGGAAGTGGGTTATTAGGTGGCGGTTGAGGTGGCGGTTTCTTTGGCCTGCGAACGCTTCCCTTCCGAAGGCTGTTGAGCTGATCAGCCTGCAACGGTACGCTGGAAGACATCTGCACGACGCCGTTGCTGGGATTGTGATTTGGCGGCAGAGGAGGCGCCGGTCGAATTGGCTTCAGTATGACCGTACTGGTGGTGGAGGCATTGCTGTGGGCATTGCTGGAGAAGATGGTCGTCATCTGGTGGTGGTCACCTCCTCTTCCAGCCTCAACCGGACTGGATATCTGCAGGTTCATCGGCAGCTTCTTTCGCTTCTGGTTGTGGTACTCAGGGGAGGAGAAGGTCTTCTTGCGGAACCAGGCTTTGATTCGCTGCTGGTTGTTGTAGAAGAGAAATGCACTTAGGGTGAGCAGGGGCAGTATGAGGAGGAAGAGTATGTAAATGCTGATGGTGAGAAAGTAGCGACTGCCGTAGCCAGAGCAGTCGGCAGAGGTGGACCCGTCGAAGCAGTGACAGGTGCCCTCGTTGTCGCAGTGGCCATTGTTGTTGCAGTTGTACGGACAGGGACTGCTCAGCGTGTACTTGCTCACCGAGACGCACCGCTGGTCGACGCACATCAGATTGGTGCCGCACTTGGCGCCGTCCGGCACCAGACCAGGGTCTGACTCGTTGAGGCCCAGGTCGATGACGGTGGAGTAGCAGGACACTAGTTTGCCCTTGCGGAACTCAATTGACTTGGAGATGACTGCAGCCCCTTCCGGTCCGTACTCCAGCTTCTCATTGCGGTGCGAGCAGTGCAGACGACCGCAGATCATGTCCTTCTGCGTCTCACAGGGCAGGTACTTTCGGCGAATCTTATCGAAGCCGCAGTTTCCGCTGCTACTGGCGTTCATGTTGTGCTGATAGCATCGGTAGTCGGCCACCTCGCCCGTCTCGCCCCACAGTAGCTTGCACTGCTGTTCGCGAGCATTGCACTGGCCAGCGTAGCAGTACGCATATCCGGGCAGGCATTCAGTTCCGTCCTTGACCGTCAAGTCCCTTCCACAGTCCTCTGATTGGCCATCGCACTTCTCCGGCAGGTCACACGCCGATTTAGCTGATCGGCAGATATGAGCCGCCTCAGAGGGGTAGACCTTGCAATTGCTGCGATCACAGCACAGGCCATTCGCACATTCGGCGCCCTTGCTAAACTTGCAGGTGGTTGCATTGCAGCAGGGGTTGGTGCAGCTCTCCGGCAAGCCGCAGTCACAGTCCTCGCCCTCATCGATAAAGCCATTGCCGCAGCTAGGCCGAAAGAGGATTTTGGGCTTGTTAAAGAGGCAGTGGTCAATGCCGTGCTTAAAGGCGCCCTCAATCTGCTTCACCGAACAGGATGACCAGTGGCGAGGACTAGGAAAGGAGGAGGAGGCGCCCATGATGCAGTTTTTGCCCTTGCACTCGCACCCACTGCCGTCGTGCTCCATTCCAAAGTTGTGACCGAGCTCGTGGGCCAGTGTGGTGGCAACTAGACTTATGCTCTACAAAGGGTGAGAAGAAAGAGAGAGAATTCTCAAGTGTTAATAGCCTGAAAGAGGCTGTAGCAGTCAGATCGAAGTGACTGCCCGAGAGCCTACCTCACTGTAGTCGGAGTTGACGCCTCCAGAGTACTCGTAGGTGCTGTTTTTGGTTTGGTTTGGTTTGGTTTGGGTTAGCCGAAAGGAAGCCATCATTAGGAGGATTAATGCTGGCCAGTCAGTGGCGTCAATGTTGATTCACATACCATAAAGTTTGCTTTAGTGCTTTGCCGACGATTCCGCTTTCGAAGGAAGTGCCCGTTATGAGTTGAGCATTATCGTTAGGATACATTTTGAGGAGGACATCACGGCGGTACTTGAGGAAGCTATTCAGCGTTGCGCTGCTATCGCTGGTTATATCGATTTCGTTCTTCTCAGTCCAAACAACAACGCCGACAAGGGCAATTAAAATGTTTAGCGGACTGTACAGCTACATTTCAAGGGAAAGAGGAAAAATGTTTGGTGAGCACTACTGCGCTGGCCGACAAATGTGGTTGTTTTCGTTTACCGAGTTGACGATATTCACAATCTTCTTGCTTCGCTCAACAATAAAGTCGCTGTTTTTGCCGTATTTTGTGTACTAGAGAGAGGGAGGGAGATCGGGAAGAGTGGGAAACCAAATATTGATCACCGATCAACAGAGACAGGCAGACGAAACACGTACCACTTTAAAGTCGTTGACAATTACAAGCTCTAGGTACCTGGTAACGTTAAAAGAACTCCACTCATCCTTAGCCTCTCTTCGAACTCGGTTTCTCCTCTCTGCATCTTGATCACTTTTGTAGCCTTGGATTAGTTAGACACAGTTAGTATAGCTGCTCAATAAGTCAAAAGTAGCAGTCAAACTCATCCTACCACAATGATAAAAAGGAGCTTTGGAGTTGGTAAAAATTTTGACTTTTTTATCGTCGATCGATTGGTGAAGGTGATATGTAAGGCCTTCCACTTCAAAAGCACCATTCAATTTGCCGTCACAGTACGATACGGCGGCCCAAGAAGGATTCGCTTCAACGACGTTTCCTTTATAGTGACACCAGTTCTGTGCCAAAAGTAATAAGAACACAATTAGAAAGAGATGGTATACGAGAGCACTATAATGTACCTCATTGTGACTTGAAGTTTTAGTGGAGTTTCTCGAGACAATAGCATCATGGTAATTGGAAGTGAGAAATGGGTTTTGCCTGAGATCTAACGTAAAATTGTGATTGAATGCTTGAATTTTGATATGCAGACGGCCAGAGGTGAAGTGGATATGAGGAATTGTCCATTGAGACTCTAGAGCAGCATTAGCGTGATGGAGTTTATTATTTAAAACACATTATAAATTAGCAATCACTAAATTGTGATCCAATAACACAACGGGGCTCTACTTGACATGTTATTTATTACCTTGGTGGGATGAGTGAAAAAGATTTACAGTTAATAAGATGGTAAGTAAAAACAATTTCATGGTGAGGATGATGAGGATGATGAGGAGGGGTGACTGCGAGAATTCGCATGAAAATCACAGACAATGGGACGAGGCAAATGATTGCATTGGTCTGGGTCTGAGCTCAGCAAGAGGGTTGAAGAAGGCAGGAAAGGGTTGTGACGAGCATGGTCGCTCGTTGGAGGGAACTGTACAGGGCACGTTGTGGCAGCAAAGAGGAGGCAGCAATCGAGATCAACATCACACACAGAGACAGGGAAGCAATTACAAGCGAGGGAGAGGGAGAGGAGTTGCAATCATAATAATATCACTGACACAAGTGGACGCCGCACGCACGACGCAGGCAGCGAATGAATCACTGGGAATCCTGCCGTCTACTCTGCAGACTGCTATCTTCGCCGTGGTTAGGGAGAGCACAGGGCGACAGAGCCACTCGGCAAACACAGAGTCAACACAGAGGCAGACTCACAGCAACAGTGCTTGGTGCACTGATCGAGTCAGGGTTATTGCCGTTAGAGCTGCTGGCCAGTTGGCAGTGCCTCCTCTCTCTCTAAGGTGCCGTCGTCTTTGCTCGTTTCGTCTGTCGGGTAGCAGTGCCTGACGAAGATCCTCGCTCACACCAAGGAGTACTGTTTGTATCACAGTGTAGGGCAACATCGAACACCCGGAACGGAACGCCTTCCACTGTGAGACGGTGCACTTGAAGCAGCTGAAATCGTGTTGTATTCAAGCCAGTTTGGCGGTCCTTCTTGCGTGTTACCTAATACAATGGAATTGAATTCAATCATTCAAAGTCAGGTTGAGCTGCAAAGGGTAGCAGCGAGCAGATGCCAGCCAATTGACCAATTATTACCTCTCTTTGGTTGAACAGTTTAGCAGTGTCGCGTTTATGAACGCTTTGGTCATGCAGGTGCAAAAAGCTATTGCTAGAGTTGGTCAATATGTTGTGTGGCCTGTAAATCTAGGTAGGGCAATGTGTAATTACATAAGTACGTGATTCCAGCAATTAGTAAATAAATCTTACCTCAAGATTTGACTCGCGGAGGCGAGTGTAAAACTCATCATCTGTTTGACAAAAAAACAAAAGGACAATTAGTGCTACTTTCAACAGGGTAACAGCAAAACGAACCTTCCAAGCCCCAGCCCCAGTATCTTGTGGAAAACCCATTCACTTGAACAAAGTGTCTGTTTTGAATGAGTAAAATTCCACCTACGTACTTTTCATAGTGGTATTTTGGATGCAAGTTAGGCGCGGACAGATGAAACGGTCCGTTTGATGGAAACTGGTATGATAGCTGGTCATTGATTGGCAACAAGTCGACGTCATGCATCGCCATGTAAGTGCTCTCGTTGGAGGCAAATAGAAAGCCAATGTTGATTAGCATGCCACGATTAAAGCGATATTTGTCCACTTGGTTAATTATATAAAACCGGTGGCAAATAGCTTGTCGCCTGAGAAACTGATGAAGGTGCGGCACCAATCTAAGCAATTCGTTGGTGCGCTCTCTAAATGGCACCACGATTGCCAGACGGTGTTGATCCTCTGAGCATGTCCAGCCATTATGCCGATCAGTGTCTTCGCTGTTACTGGAACATGGTTGACCACACAGGCTTTGTGAGGACTGTTCGCTGGGAAATAAAGTCCAGATGAACAGCCAGGAAAAGGTAAACAAGCAAAGTATTATGGACGACAAAACTTTGGGAGATAAACGATGGAGGTTCATAGCACACTGTTTCAAGTTAGAAGGCGTTCATTATTCAAGTCGTTAACATCTGCTCATCAGTGTCCTTGGTTTTGCAATGACTAGATTCTGTAGCTCACTGTTTCGAGAAATGCTTCTTAGGAATCACATCGACAATGCTCCTTTTTCAGATGTTTTGTTTTCAGTGTCACTACCCACCGGCAGATGTCTCAGAAGCGATCACGCTGTTTGTGTGCGAGCATGTGCGGTCTGAATTAGCCCGAAAAACTGATATTTTGTGTCCAATCTTTTGTGTGTTGACTTGATCTCGAGATCTTGAAGTGTGTAACCCTCCTTATCATTATCATCATCATCATCACTCCCTGCTTTGAAAATGTACTTTCATTGTGTGCTGAGCAATGAGATTCCCGAAAATCCGGTCGTCTCTCCAAGCTCAGGCAGCGTCTTTGAGCGACGACTGATTGTCAAGTACTTGGAAGAAAATGGAGTTGATCCAGTCTCTGGAAAAGACATGACAGTGGACGAATTGATTGAACTGAAAACTGCCCCAATCGTCAAGCCCAAGCCACCATCGGCAACGAGCATTCCGGCTTTGTTAAAGTCACTGCAGGACGAATGGGACTCGGCGATGCTGCACAGCTTCAATCTTCGCCAACAGCTGCATATAACCCGGCAAGAATTGTCCCATGCTTTGTACCAGCACGATGCTGCCTGTCGAGTGATTGCTCGCCTCACCAAAGAACTGACGGCAGCGCGAGATGCTTTGGCCACGCTTAAACCCAAAGCGCCATCATCAACACCGGCTAAGGCCGAAGAAGTCGGAGGAGATTCCGGTGTCCACAGTGGCGAAGAAGGTTTGAGTGCAGAGGTTACCCAAATAATCACCAACAAAGCTGCTACTTTGACAGCAGAACGCAAAAAGCGCTGCAAAACCGTGCCCGAAGAACTGGTGAAACCTGAAAAGATACGTGAATTCAAAACAACATCTTCGCAAACTGCCTTGCACAGTGTCAGCGTTCCTGGCATTACGGCTCTTGACATTTGCCCAACAAACTCAAAGAAAATTGTCACCGGCGGAAATGACCACACTGCAGTTATCTTTGACAAGGAGAAAGAAGAGATTGTTACTGTGCTAAAGGGCCACTCTAAGAAGGTCAATAACGTCATATACCACCCTAATGGTGATAATGTCATTACCGCCTCGCTGGACAGTCAAATTCGCGTCTGGGATGTGGCCAAATCGCAGACAGTTCAAGTTGTTCGTGCTCATGAGTCTCCCGTAACATCGATCAGTCTTCATGCCACCGGATCGTACATTTTAAGTACTTCCAATGATGAATTTTGGGCTTTCTCGGATTTAAGCACAGGAAAAGCGCTTATCAAAGCAGGTGATCAGACGACGAATCATTCTCTTACTGCGGCTCGCTTTCATCCTGATGGTCTCATCTTTGGCACCGGCACCTCTGACTCGCTGATTAAAATTTGGGATCTGAAAGAACGCACCAATGTTGCAAACTTTCCTGGACACATTGGCGCCGTCTCTGCTATGTCATTTTCTGAAAATGGCTACTACCTGGCGTCTGCAGGCGAGGATCCCTACATTAGACTTTGGGATTTGCGTAAGCTAAAAAACTTCAAGTCAATCCCATTGGACGATGATTACGTGGTGAAGGACTTGTGCTATGACAAAACTGGAAACTACCTAGCGGTGGCAGGCAAAGACGTTCGTATATACATTAGCAAGCACTGGGAGAACATTAAAACCTTCGTGGATCACCACTCTCCGGTCACCGGTGTTCGCTTTGCTGAAAACGCCTCTTACATTTGCTCTACAAGCCTGGATCGATCTCTTAAGATTTACTCAATGTAAACAACAAAACCAATTCACTCACCTGCTCTTTTTCATTTTGTTCAATTTATTTACCATATAATAATGCATTGGTCGGCAAACCCACCTTTTACTATTCATTTTCAACTTACCTCTCTCTCCATCTTACCACATTCTATTTCCAACGATCCCTGATCAGTTTGTCCCTCTCTCTCTCTTNACTCAATGTAAACAACAAAACCAATTCACTCACCTGCTCTTTTTCATTTTGTTCAATTTATTTACCATATAATAATGCATTGGTCGGCAAACCCACCTTTTACTATTCATTTTCAACTTACCTCTCTCTCCATCTTACCACATTCTATTTCCAACGATCCCTAATCAGTTTGTCCCTTTCTCTCTCTCTCTCTTTCCCATTGGTGTGCATGTGTATGTTTGTGATGCCGTGTACTACTGATTTCCTAATCTAAGACAAATATAAACTGTTAATACCAAAGTGCGTAATGCCCATTTAGTAGCAGGAGAAAGTGAAGTGAAAATCAGTAGCGAAGAAGTGCGGCGGCAGCGGCAGACGAAGTGTCTCGCACTTTGTGTCTGTCGATAGTGCCGCTGCGGCAGTGCAAGAGAAAGGCCAAAGGTAGATAAGCAACTGTATTCAGCGGTGAGAGAAAGAGAGAGAACATAGTGATAGTTCTTATCGGATTGATCATGTCGAAGTTGTAAAACACTGCAGTGTGTGATAACCGCAGTGCAACCGAATTTTGCATGCGCCAAAGGCTGCGCAACCGAAACCTCGCACCGAACGACTCGCACACTTTGGTGAACTTTTGTCACTTGCCGTTTCGCGTGCCATAAATAAACACATCGCTCCCGCCTGTGCCGTGTGCGCCATGGAATGATTTGCCCTTTCTTCTCTCTTTTGCCAATACTTTGTTTTTACCAGTTGTTGTAATTCGAGATTCTTCCCACCTCACACCAACTACCGACGCTTTGACAACCACACACGTGAATTTGTTTTACCATGAAGTTCGCTGTTGACCTGCTTACTGCCGGTCGTTATCTTTGGCGAAAACTGCCGCCAAATCGTGCAATATTTACGCAACGAAAGCATGGCTTTCAGAACGCCGGACAGCAAAGCCTTTCTTTTCGACGGTAAGTTGATATCCTTTACCTGCGTTTCTCCAACAGACACGACATTTCGTTTTTCAAACTCTGCAGATTTTCAACATCTAACCGACACTTTGGGTCTGAAAAAGTGGCCATATTGTTCGATTTGTTCAAAGACAACCAAGGAACGGTTCCAGTAGACGTTTTCCTTCAAGATCTTCAGTCTACTGGTTTTAAAAAAAGCGACCCTCGCTTTAAAAAGATGATTGACAATTTGCATTCACTCTCTCGTGAGCTCGGCGAAACCTCCATTGACAGGCTAACACTCAATGAAGAACAGTTTGAGAAAGTGATTAAAGATAGTGTTATCATCATCAGTCAAGCCCTGCAAAACTCTGACATTGTGATTCCCGACTTTCCCGAATTTTGTAAATACGTTGAAAATTTTTACTTTAAATGCAAAGCCAACACTTCAGGGAAGCCGGCAGAGTACATTCCTCAGCTGGCCAAAGTAAATCCAGGTTTGTTATTGGAAGCCTTCACCTTTTCTCCCAGCACTAACCAGCAACTGTTCTGCATGTTTCTAGAATACTGGGGAGTTAGTCTGTGTACGGTGGACGGTCAGCGTTTCTCAATTGGAGATACCAAAGTCCCATTTACTATTCAGTCTACTGTATGTGACCAAATCGAATTAGTTATGATACACATTTTATATTTTTGACTAAAACTTTTACACAGGGCAAGCCAATTAACTATGCAATCGCACTAAGCGAACTTGGCTCGGAGGTGGTCCACAAATATGTTGGACAGGTAAGTTGAAGAACTACTTTTTACAAAATCTAACCAACCCAAACAAACTCAGGAGCCAAGCGGTCGTATGTTCAATGAGCTTGTGCTTGATCAGTACAACAAGCCTCACAACCCTATGGTGAATGCCGGTGCAATTGTGATTTGCTCTTTGCTGATTAACTTGATTGAGGTAAGCGAACTTTGCAACTTTTATCCGCCAAACTACTCTAACTGTCTTTATGCAGCCCAACTTGGCAGTCTCAGAGAAGTTTGAATGGGTGTGCAACTACTATAAGCGAATGTCCGGCAGCGAATACTTGGGCTTCAATAACGCTACATTCTTGTCCGAAAAAGAGGCGGCTGATCGAAACTACGCTATTGCTTATTACCTGAAGGAGTACAAGTGCTTTCCCAAAAATGCCGTCCTCAAGGATACGATGGACTTTTACTTTCAGGTAATGGTGTTTGAAAATAAAAATTACAAACTTAACAAAATTATATTCAATGCAGCTGTGTTCCTTGGAAGTCAACTGCGAAACAGTGAGCTCAATTGCAGCTACTCTGGCCAACGGAGGCATTTGTCCGCTGACTAACAATCAAGTGATCACTTCATCCTCTGTCCGAGACGTTCTCTCCTTGATGCATTCCTGTGGCATGTACGACTTTTCTGGCCAGTTTGCATTTAACGTTGGCTTACCTACTAAATCAGGTAAAACTTTCTTTTAGTTTAAACATCTGTGTATTTATCATTTGTTGCAGGAGTGTCTGGTTCGTTGATGGTAGTCATTCCAAATGTGATGGGCATCTGCTGCTGGTCCCCTAATCTGGACATGTACGGCAACTCTGTTCGAGGAGTGCAATTTTGCGAAGAGCTGGTGTCGGTGTTTAACTTTCACCAGTACGACAACTTACGACACAGTCCTCACAAAACCGACCCGAGGAAACGCAAAGCCACTGCTAAAGCCAGTGAAATGAGTAGCGTTCTTTTTGCCGCCACTAACGGCGATATCAAGGAAATCAGACGATTCTACCTGTCGGGAATGAACATGAACCGGAAGGACTACGATGGACGAACAGTTTTGCATATTGCCGGTACGCATATTTACTTTGCATAAAAGACCTGAATATTAACTTCTTTTTACTGCAGCATCTGAAGGACACCTGAACGTCGTTTGTTTCTTAGTCAATGTGTGCAAAGTGGACAAGACAATCAAGGACAGGTATTATATTGTTACAATTTATTAAGACTATTAGTTAATGATGTCATAACATCCTTAGATGGAACAACACGGCACTGGACAATGCACTTCAATTCGGACACCAAGATGTGGTTGATTTTTTGAGTTCCAATTAACAAATAAAAATACTACATACTGTTTTCTATTGTACCAACTTTGTGTTTTATCTTTCAATGTTGGGTTTCTTTCCAAAGAGAGCCGCTAGCTTGTTGATGTCTTCGACGTTTTCATATCCGAGCGTTTTCTTGCCAGTGATCGGATCAACTACATTTCCCGACTGATAGACAACTTTCTCCACTTGGTAGTTGATTTCTAAACTAAAGCGCTGGTCCAGCTTGCGTAAAAGTACCCAGTCGCCTTCTTTGCACTGGTTCTTTGGGTCATGGGCAATGATTTCATCGTTCTCGCGAAAATGCTTGCTCAAAAAGTCGTCAAACTTGAGCTGCGGTGCGAGCAGGCGAATAACACTTTTCTTGGCTGGAGTGATGCACTTGGCCAAAAGAAGGGCCATGGTTCAAGGGGTCGATTCGATAGAAATGAAGAAGGGTTTTGAGGACGTTTTGATAAAGGCACTAAGCCCAGCGAAGCATCAGCGTTGTTTTCCCCTGATCACCTGATTCGCACATGGAACTAGTGTTCTGCTGGCCACCAGGTGGAGCCCCAAGTCCTTACGTACTCTACTGATTCTCAAGCACGTGTTTGCGGGAGCACACTTTCGCACCTCAAGTCGCACTGAAACACAAACTGAACTCTGAGCCTCACTTTTACCGGACACGAGAGGCAGTTCCAGCGAGTACTTCACTTGACGCTGGTCATCATGGTAAGTTCTTTGATGTGGCAATGGACTTGGCTAAAGGCTTACCCATTCTGTTTACCCTTTTCAGGTTAATCAACTGTATGTGCTCTACGAGCACGCTGCTGGCTATGCTCTCTTCAAAGTGAAGGAGTTTGAGGAGATCGCAATGTTTATACCTCAAGTAGAGAAGGCCACGCTGAATCCGGTCAAATTCAAGTCCTTCGTGAACCTGGTGGCATTCTTGCCCTTCAAATCGGGAACAAATGCTCTGGACAACATCAACAGCGTTTCAGAGGGTATCATTCACGAAGATTTGCAAGCTTTTCTGGAGACTAACTTGCCGCAAAATGTGAAAAAGTCCAAGTTCTCTTTGGGAGTTGGAGATGCTAAAATTGGCTCAGCTATTCAAGAGTCTCTTGGATACTCTGTCCAGTTTACCGATGTGGTTCCTGAAATTTTGCGTGGCATCCGCTTCCACTTTCACGAACTGGTCAAGGGACTTTCTTTGAGTTCTTTGGGCTCTGCTGAATGCAGTCTTGGGCGAAGTTATTCTCGAGCAAAAGTCAAGTTCAACGTCAACCGAGCCGACAACATGGTCATTCAGAGTATCAGCTTAATTGATCAACTCGACAAAGACATCAACACCTTTTCGATGCGACTCAAGGAATGGTACTCCTACCACTTCCCGGAGATGGCCAAAATTGTTCCCGACAGTTACACTTACGCCAAGCTTGCTAAGGTCATCGGGGATCGAAAGGAGTTCTATCTCTTGGAGGACGCTGCCGAGCAAATTGAGGACATTGTTCAGGATTCAGCAAAGACACAGGCTATCCTCAGTGCTTCTAAATCTTCTATGGGAATGGACATTTCCAAGATCGACTTGATTAACATTGAAATGTTCACTTCAAAGTTGCTTTCTCTCGCTGACTACCGCAAGCAGCTGATGGACTACCTGGTTTCGCGTATGCACAACATTGCCCCCAACCTCTCTTCGTTAATTGGTGAAATTGTAAGTTTCATTTAGAAAAGCAATTCAATGGTTACTTATACTTACGGCACTTGACTTTTCAGGTTGGCGCGAGGCTCATTTCCCATGCTGGCAGTTTGTTGAATCTTTCCAAGTACCCATCTTCGACCGTACAGATTTTGGGAGCTGAAAAGGCTCTTTTCCGTGCTTTGAAAAAGAAGGGAAACACACCAAAGTACGGTCTCATTTACCATTCGACGTTCATCGGAAGAGCCGGAAACAAAAACAAAGGGCGCATTTCTCGATTTCTCGCAAACAAGTGCTCCATTGCTTCTCGAATCGATTGCTTCAGCGAGGAAGCTACCACCGTCTTTGGCAATAAACTCAAAGAACAGGTCGAGGAGAGGCTGAAGTTCTTTGATTCGGGTGTGGTGCCAAAAAAGAACGTCGATGTGATGAAGGAAGCACTTGAAGAAGCTGCTGTTGATGCTCGAAAGCTAAAGAAGAAGAAGAAGAAGGATAAAAAGCGAAAGTTGGCTGAAATGGAAGAGCAGGAGGATGTAGGCGAGACGGAGCACGCCAATGGCAATGCTGCCAATGGCGATGAAGTGGAGATGGCTGAGGAGGAGGTCGTCGAGGAGTTGCCTAAGAAGAAGAAGAAGAAGAAGTCTCTGCCAATTGCCGTCGAAGTGTGATTTGGCTCTATTTGTCATTTCACGATTATTCCTCTCATCACTTTTTTGCGTTCATTAAGCTCCCACTCTACTTTTAAGCAAATTATTTTGTGCATCTTTTCAAAATGATATCCAATAAATATTTTTCATATAAGTGTAAAAACATGAGGTATATTTTTATTGTTTATAATTTCAACAAACGTTAGTTAAGAACTTTAATCTCTTTCAGGCCAACGTCCATTGAGCACCACTTTTCTGTCAGTGGTAAACAGTTGAGATACTTGAAGCTGTCCAAATAAGGCTCAACCAGGTGGCTGTTATAGAAGAAAACAAACAACGACGATGACAATAAAAGGAGAAGAGTGAGGCTGATGTAGAATGACTTGTTCTTGTAGTTGTTTGGCTGCATCAGAGGCACCGTTAAAGAACCAAATATAAAGCCAAAAATATTGGAAAAGTTGTTGATCCACGGCACGAAAAACCCTAGAACAAAGATAATGGGCAAGCAACAGCTTGTTTTGAGGAAAATGAAGAACGGTTTGTGCAACAGGTCCCAATTGGAGATGACTTGATAAAGAAGTAAAGATAGAATGCCGAAGAAGGCACCCATTGGGCCTATTTCCGGAGTTTCAGGAAGAAATATTGCACTGGCGAGGTTCCCACCGATGCCCGAGATGCCATAGAGGACTGCATTCAGGGGAAGGAGTGCCATTAATTGACTGTCAGTCGGTTACAGGTTGATTCTAAAACTTACACAATATTTTTCGTGTACCATAGGTTTCCTCAATCACTGCCTGGAAAAAGTATTGAATGAGAAGGGTGATGATTATCTGAAGAATGCCAGCGTGAACAAAGAGAGACATGACGAGGCGGTACATTTGATTGGGCTTCTTGTCAAAGGAAATCAAACCACAGACGTCATTTAGGCAGTTCACCTGCGAACACAACCTAGCCTTCGGGTGAAATGTGCCCTTGACAAAAGCGCAGTACTCTTCGGAAACGAGTTGACACTTTCCGTATATTCCAATGCAGCACGGTTTAGCTACAAGTGTGAAACATGATTGAAGTTATTATTGAGGGCATTGAGTGCTGTCTGCATCAAAACACATACCTTGCACTTTGCACTTCATGTGGTTGTCTGATCTAGCAATAGCATAGGTGTTATTGCTCTTCTTGCAAATGGGCCAGTCAGTGATCTTGGCGGGCCACTGCTCACTGCCAGAGCAGTACTTTGGGTCCTGGCCGCAGAGGGGGCCACTGCCGTTCTTGAATTTGATCCATACGGAAGTTCGCCGAGAGCAACTCTCCTGGGGAGTCTGCACACAGCCGCTGTTGTCCAAACGAATACAGCAGCCGGTTTCACTTTCATTTCTTTTCACCGCTTGAATGTTATCGTGAATGTGCTTCACTTTTTTCATGCAGGGCGAAAAAATAGCGCCAGTACGAATCAAGATAGACGTTCTGGGGCCAATCCATATGTTGCTCGGCTCGGAATATGTTACAGGCTGGGCGGCAGAAAGGCAAAAGGATGATTAATTTGTAAAGCCAAATTGAATGACTGGCAAGTTCATACCTGTAGTGAGTTACTCTGATGACGAACAATGTCAGTGACGTTCCGTTGATTAAATCCAAAATAGCCAGTGCCGTTTGTTAAAAGTATGACGAGAAATAAAATGACTTCGATGAGCATTAGATAGTAGGTGAAGATGGGTATATGTCTTTCTGGTTTGCTATCAAGAACCTTATTCAAGCACTTGAACCCAGTCCAACGAAGGAAAAATCCGGTATTTTTTCGTTTATAGAAGTTCGTTGGTATTAAAGGAATTTCACTATTTCCAAAAGAGTTGATGAGTAAAAATGGTTTTTCAGATGGCTTTTCAGCGTTCATGTCGCAAGCAAAGAAGTCAAAAGGCTTAATGCCAAACTCTGTGCCCTCTTTGTGATCAGTTTGCTCACTCTCAGGGCCTAATGCATTTAATAAAATCTTATCTTTGTTTTCGATAGAAGATGATCGGTTAGTTCTAAACTGATTCTGTACACTTTGCTCTTCGTTCTGCAATGAAAAAAGTTATAATTATTTTCAAGCTTTTAATTATCCCTCTCAGTTTGTAAAACTCGTAACGCAGTGGCTTTTTTTTCTGCTGCAAAGTCTATTTGCGTATTTAGTAGAATTCATTTACGAGTTGGGCAAGCTGAGACGAGCATTTTTAATAGAATAACATTCAACTTACCGATTCTTTACACCTCTCTGAGCTGCCATTTTTTATCGAAGGGCAATCTACCTCATCGTACGATTCACTTGATGCATCACTACTTCGTTTAGTAACTTGTACCACTTTAGGCTCAGAAGGAGTTTGATTAATCTATCAAAAAAGTATGCTTAGTTGAAAGCATAGAAACATTGCTTTATCACTCTTACATGTTTGCCGTCGACTTCCGCCGCTTTGGGGCGTCGTTCAACTACTGGCTTCTTGACTTCGCCATACTTGGACAACATTCGAACAAGTCTTTTCTGGTGCTTCTCATCGGCTGAACTCATCGTGGTGATGTTTTCTTCAACTTTTTTGGTGCGAATAAAACAAAACACCCTTCAAGTGGCCATAAAGTGACTCATCTGGTGGCGGTGATGGCAAAAGTGTGATAAGACAGTGAAAAGGTAAACAGAATACCAGATAAGGTAAAAATGTGAATCAAGGAAAAGCGATAAATATGATGGTTACNTTGGTGCGAATAAAACAAAACACCCTTCAAGTGGCCATAAAGTGACTCATCTGGTGGCGGTGATGGCAAAAGTGTGATAAGACAGAGAGAAGGTAAACAGAATACCAGATAAGGTAAAAATGTGAATCAAGGAAAAGCGATAAATATGATGACTAGAGTTGCACCAAAACACTAAGGATACTGATATCCGAGTCTGGCCCTGCCCTCGGTGGATCTCTCTGCACTCGATGTGCGCCATTAGTAACACAGTTACTGTAACGATGATTGCTACGACGGTGGGCTATACAGTTCCCAAACAGTTCTCTGCCCTGCATCACCACATTACTCTGAGTGGCTCACAAGTTTGAGTCAAAACACTGACAGCTTGCACACTGATATTCTACTGTTTCTGTGAATCTTCCCGTTTCAATTCTAGTATTATTTATTCTTCAATCGAATTCAAATTGAATAATTAAAACTTTATTTGAGAATTTACTCAAACAATTCTTTCAAGCAATCAATGGAGCGCAGAGTGAAGCTGAGGACATTGAATCCTTATATCTCATGTATCATTTGCCGGGGGTATCTTATTGATGCTACCACTGTTACTGAGTGTTTGCATACTTGTAAGTTGTCTTGTGAGTGAATAATTTGAGCTGTAAACTGACTGACTTTAATTCAAAAAATAGTCTGTAAGAGTTGCCTAGTGAAGCATCTCGAAGAAAAGAATACCTGCCCAAAATGCCGAATTGTCATTCATCAGTCACATCCACTTCAGTACATCAGCTACGACCGAACACTGCAAGATGTGGTGTACAAGCTGGTGCCGGATATGCAAAAATGTCAGTTGTACAAATATTACCAATATATATATATATTACTTTAGCTAACTTTTAAAATGCTGTTGATTTCAGGCCAAGAAAGGCGACAAAAAGAATTTTACCGATCTCGAGGGCTGCCATATCCAAAGGAAATTTTAGAAAAATCTCAAACAGATTGCAATCAGAGTGTGCCGGAAACAGTAGAAACCACCTGCAATTTTCACAAAAGTGACGAACAAATGGGCGTTCAGCTGCTCAGTTTGGATGAAAAACAAATGGCACAACTACGCGAGCCTTTCTTACGCTGCTCTTCTCAGACCACAATAAAGCACCTTAAAAAGTTTCTTGCAACAAAGTTCTTCAAAGAAATCGAAAAACAACGAGATGTAATAAAACAATTAGTCCTTTTGACAATTACTAACTGTAACCGATGTCCCTTTTCAGATTGATATTCTTTACAATGAAGAGCTGCTTGGGAAAGACCACACTTTGAAGTTCGTTTACGTTACACGATGGCGGCTTAAGGTTTGCTTGAAAACAAATGAGCCTATTTAAAGTTTTTATCATGTTTCTTATCAATTTTCACAGCATGGACCACTGAAGTTGTTTTATCGACCATCACAGAGACTGTTCAACTAACTTCAGTACAGTGCAAATGTTCATCTCATCTAAAATGATCTACAGTAATTTCCATTAGTGAATTGTCTCTTTTTCTGGAGTCACACTCATCAATCGGTATTATTTTAATAACATAGCTTTTAATAAAACTTAAATAAAATGTTTTAAATAAGTTTTTGGTGAAATAAAATTCGAACAAAAATGGAAAGATTTTTTGAATGATTTTGCGTAGTAAGCATGCGCAAAGAGCGTTATTTGCACTGACAAGAGATTTTGTGTTTGTTTGTTTGTAAATCTACTGGTTGTTGTTTTTCTAATCACAAAAATCAAACTCTTTATACGCCTCCTGATATGATCCTTTTGGGTGCCACTCAGCTCAACTTTACCTCGTTCTCGGGTCAGCCATTTCCTGTGACTTCTTCGCCGTGCAGAGAGCTTTCAGCTGTTTAGTGCCAACCACAAGCGGTCTGCTGTCTCTGTCCACCAGTCGAGTGTGATCATCGCCAATCAAACAATTTCATCACGTTCATTCGATAACAGTGGGCAAGAGGTGTTTAGCTGTGGCGATTAAGCACCGGCACTCAAAAGACGATACCACTGGTTGCTAATCCCACATCAATGCAACTGGTAATACTCATTACCACTGTCTTTTTGGGCTGACACTTGGCATTCACTGAGTGCATCGTTGTGCTGCAATTTGGATCATCAACAATTCTCTGGAACAAACGAGGAAACCAACCATGAGTACAGCACAGCACATTGATGAAGTGGCAGATGATCCTGATGTGGAAGAGGATACAACATGTTTTCGTTCGTTTCCTCGGGTTTTATGCTTTCCTTCTTCCGCTTTGCACCGTTACTTTGTTCTCTTTTTCATGTGCATGCTTGGTTTTGGTAAGTCGTAATCATTTTGTATAGAATAATTGTACTGATTTTTAGTTGAATTATTTAGGAAGCTACTACTGCTATGATAATCCGGGAGCCCTTCAAAATCAGATAGTGGCTGACATGGGCATCTCAGTGGGAAGTTTTTCACAACTTTATGCATGGTACTCATGGCCCAACTCAATTCTATGTTTTTTCGGAGGCTTCCTGATTGATCGAATTTTGGGCATCCGAATGGGGGCTATTGTTTTTGCCGGCTTTATTCTGCTTGGCCAAATCGTTTTTGCCGGAGGAGCCCTTATCAACCAATATTGGGTTATGATCTTAGGGCGTTTTATGTAATTATTTTGTTGAATTTGTTTGTATCACGTTTTAATTTCTCATTTTAATTCAACAGTTTTGGAATTGGTGGAGAATCATTGGCAGTCGCTCAAAAGTAAGATAAAAGTTTAATGAATTTAGTAGGATATTAACCTTTTCGTTTTCAAAGCACCTATGCAGTCAGTTGGTTCAAAAACAAAGAACTAAATATGGTGTTTGGACTACAGCTTTCCATTGCACGAGTTGGCAGCACAGCAAACTTCTTGACTATGGTTCTGGTGTACAATCAAATTCACGAGTGGGTATCAGGATACCTCAACCTTGGCTATGCACTTCTCTTTGCCTCTGTTACCTGTATTCTTTCCTTTATTTGCGCTCTCATTTTGGCTTATTTTGACAAGCGAGCTAGCAAAATTTTGAAAAAAGACAATACTGAAATTGGCGAAAAGGTGAATCTTACCGACGCAAAAAACTTTAGTCTTTCATTTTGGCTGATTTGCATTATTTGTGTGACTTACTACGTGACAATCTTTCCCTTTACCGCTTTAGGAAGGTAAGTACATAGAATCCAAACTTTGGCATTTGATTTCAACTAAAACTTTATTTTCAACAGCACTTTCTTTCAACGCAAGTACGACATGTCCCAGAAAGAGGCCAATTCGGTGGATAGTATCATCTATGTGATCTCAGCTTTCATTTCGCCAGTTTTGGGCATTCTGGTGGACTACACTGGAAGAAACCTGTTCTGGGTTTTAGTGGCCATTCTCATCACTCAGGTGGCTCACGCCATGCTGGCCTTTACCTTCATCAACCCACTGGTTGCAATGTGCATCATGGGCGTCGGCTACTCTGTGTTAGCTTGTGCTCTGTGGCCAATGGTCTCTCTGGTCATTCCGCAGCACCAGCTGGGAACGGCTTACGGCATCATGCAGTCAGTGCAGAACTTTGGACTAGGCTGTGTCGTCTTGGCCGCCGGATACATTGTCGATCTCAAAGGCAACATTGTCTTGGAAATCTTTTTCCTTGCTTGGATATCACGTATGCTTTATCTTCAACGAAGTGGGCCATTCTAATTGCTCTTTTTATTTGCAGTTTGCCTCATAACTTTGATTTTCTTGTACATCAACGATCAGCGGACAGGAGGCTTCCTCAATATGTCGGTTCATCAAAGGAAAATGCTGAAAAATCAAGAGTAAGTCAACTTGTAACACATGTTTCCATTACTAATAACATTTCACAAAACTGTAGGGAATCGATGCAGGTAGACTACAGTGATTCAACAGGTGATCTCGTGGGGCATCCACATTCGGCATAGTGACAAATTATTTTGTAAATATAGCAAAAGTATTCACTTTGTTTCCAGCATCTCTTTTATACTATTCAAGCCTGTTTTTACTAATAAATAAGTTTCAATGCAAAAGTGAATAAAATCATTTTAATTTGTTTTTTGAAATCTAAAATTTAATTTATTTGCGCATGCGCAGTGTATTTTAGAAATTGATCTTGAAATCAGTTCTGACGCAAACCGCGCACTGTTTTCATTTGCAAAATCAGTTCATCTTCAATTCGTTGACCATGTCGGACGTGGACAGTTCTCAAGAGTCCACGTCTGAGAGTGAAAGTAATGAAAGACCATTGGATAACCCGCCAAACATCAACAATCAAACAACCAACTTTCAGTGTTTTCTGGTGATCAGCTACCAGGACTTCAAACTTGGCATCGCTTTTTATCGCCTTGGGTCTGACAAACTTGAATTGCTTCACGAAGTTCACGAGTACTACGACTTCAACTACATCAAAACTATTCTTCACAAGGTGCAGCCCACTGATGTTATCATTAGCTCAAAAGTTGACACACAATTTGTAAACTACCTCAAAGTTTTCTCTCTAAGCATCAACGAAACAGAGCAAGATTCAGATGTTGACGTTCCACCGAACATTTCTATTGAATCAGATGAATATGTTTACGCTGCTTACGATCGCAATCCAAATACTCGCCTCTCAGCTCGTTTTAAGCTTCACATTTTGTCAAGACGATTTTTCAACTATGATTCTTGCAAAAACCGTGTTTTGTCGATGAATTTACCAAGCATCGCAAACATGATCGACCTAAACGAACGATTCATCTATTTGACTGCTAACATAAACTTTTCAGAAACGAACACACTAAAGTCGCTCGGAGTTCTACTATACTTTTTAGAAAAGAATGCGTTTTTCAACTATCCAAACTTTAGTGAATTTGGGTATTTCAACTTTTATTACGTGACAATGGATCAAGCTACTTATGATTCGCTAGAAATCTTTCAGCAAGAATGGCATCCTTCTACTTTGAAAAAGGGCATTTACAAAAAAGAAGGCCTCAGTGTATTTGGCATCTTCAATTCTTGCGCTTCTAAGTTGGGATCATTTTATCTTAAGAAAATATTTCAGCAACCAATAACAGATTTCGCAAGTTTAAACCAACGACAAGATGTTATTGAATTTTTCACTCATCCATCAAGCCAGAACATCAAAGATCTTCTCAATGAGCACCTTAAACACGTAAAGGACATTTCTCCTATAATCAATCGATTCAAAGCGTCAACTTTTAAATTTTGCGACTTTGAAGTTTTACTTGGCGTAATTTCTAATATGATTTTCATTAGAAATATGATTGCAAATTTTGACAAAAAGTTCAACTTGTTTTCTCAAATTACTCGAGCTTTTACGGAGGAACTTGAAGAAATTTGCCAATGTCTTCAAACGACTATTGATTTCAATAATTCAAGTGAAGAAAATATAGAAATCAACACCAAAATTGACACTAAACTCGACGAGTGGAAGGTGATTTTCAACAAACTGCCCGAAGTACTGAACCGAGTGATGGTCAATGAAAGTGATGAAGACAATAGCATCTTGGCGCTCCAGTTTCGCAACCTCACTAACTTGTATGTTCCACAAATCGGATTTTTGCTGGCCGTTCCTTTAGTTGAAGCACAAAAAGTTCCGGACTTGCAACTTTTTGGTCTCGAAGCGATTTTCTGCGCCAATGACCGAGTTTTTTGCAAAAACAAAAAGACCAAAGAATTTGACACCTACTATGGCGATATCGTTTTCAACATTTCTGAGCAAAGCAGAAAAGTTTTAATTGGTTGCAGAAACTTTATCATCGAGCGCAAAAAGACTATCAAAGCTTCAACTTCTCTCTGCGCTCAACTTGACGCCATGATTGCAATGGCAGACACTGCCTCCAAGTACAAGTATACTCGGCCAACTTTAAATGTTTGCGGAACCACTCAAATCGACGATGGACGTCACCCACTGTATGAGTTACTTGACCAATCGTTCGTTCCAAACCCGTTTTCTAGCAGTGAAGATGACGGCAAAATTTGCATTGTTTTTGGACCAAACAACTGTGGAAAATCGGTTTACCTCAAGCAGGTCAGCTTAATCATCTATTTAGCCCATATTGGAAGCTTTGTTCCTGCTAAAAAAGCAGACATCAAAATTGTCGATCAAATCTTTACTCGCATTCGAACTCCCGAGTCGATATCATCACAGCTTTCTGCTTTCAAACACGACCTTAACCAGATCATTATGGCTATCAAGTATGCTTCAAAGCACTCATTTGTGGTGATTGATTTCTTCGGTAAAGGAACCCTTTCAATTGATGGCTTTTCATTGCTCTCCGCTTTCATTAGACACTGGGCAGAAGATTACAACCGGCCGCACATTATTATCTCGTCACAATTTTATCTCAAAGCGGAACTTTCACATTTGACCGAAATTAATTTTTTCACTTTTGAAACAGTGAATAACATGCACACTTACAGTTTGATTCGCTGTGACAATGCAGACAGTGATTTCAACATTTTGAATTCACAAGACTTCGACACGATGAGACCGAGAATGGAAGCGATGCTGACAGAGGAGGACACTCTCGATGAAGATTTACAGGCAGCTTTTCCTGAATTGAGCCAAAAATATGAAAATCTTGTTGGGCTAGGAAATTTTATCCTTAACCAAAACTCATTGACTGAAGAAGTTTACGATCAAATATACCAACTCGTTGATTCCATTGTAGATAAATGAAAAGTTTGTACAATTTTAATTTTTACATTCAATAAATGTATTACAACATATTTTTTAAGGCGACAGTTTACTTTTCTCCAAGAAGCCAAAATGTAAGCATGGTCCCTTTTCCTTTAATTGAAACTTCTCCCCTAGGTTCCAATATAAAGGTGCCAAATAAGTCAAGCACTGATTTGGTCGATGAGCTGACGTGAATTTTAAGTGGTTCTCCATTGCTTTCCATTCGAGAAGCGGTGTTGACTGCATCACCGAAAAGACAAAATCGCGGCCGAATGTTTCCTGGAAATAGAACGAAGTATCGGTAAGGTGATTAAAAACAGTGGCATTTCTCTTTCTGGCTGATTGAATTTACCCACACAGCCAGCACATGTCGGTCCAGTGTTAATTCCTATTCTCAGCTTTAACTTTTCATCTGGCTGGTGTTTGATTCGAAAATTGGGCAGAAGTTCCAGCATTTTTAGTGCCATACGACAAATCTGACGGGCATGCTCAATGCCGTTCCGTTCAGGCAGGCCACTCACTACCATGTAACTGTCGCCAATCGTTTCGACTTGATGATTGTTTCCACAAAATATATTGCAAGTAAGTAACAAAAGCAAGTGCACTTTACTGTACAAACCTTTGTAGACGTCAAAGTCAGAAATAATAGAATCAAAGAACGTGTAAAGATCATTGAGAAAATCTACCACTTGCATAGGTGTGCTTTTCGAGCAAAGATGCGTAAAGCCGACAATATCGCCAAACATGATTGTGACACTAAACTTTGAAGTTAAGTGCCAGTTACAAGCTGCAATGAAAAATACTTACCTGTCATAAAAGTTGGGCTCAAACATCTTTCCTCTCTTTAACTGATCAGCAACCGGCCTGAAAAGATAGACAAGTGTTAATAGATGCAATGAAATTTATAACTGAAAACACTCGAGAATACTTGGGCAGTATTTGGTAGAGCAGTTCTTCGGTTTTCTTCTTTTCTTCAGCCAACTCGTTGGTGCGCTGCTTGACAATCATTTCCAGGTCGCAAGCATACTGCTCCATTCGAATGAGTAAATTTTCTGTCAGTGTAGAGTTGGCGGAAAGGCTGCTGTTCAAGCCGAGACTTTTCATTATACTTTTCATATCGTACTTCATCAAAGAAAAATCAATGCGATCATCAGGATTAGGCGACCAACATTTGACCATGAGGTTGTGCAGCTCAGCAATACACGCGTCGGCAGAGACTGCTGGTCGTAAATGCTCAAACTTGATTAGCTTCACAATGTCTACAAATGGTGAAAATGAAGTTACTACCTACAGGAAACAGTGTCACAGTATACCCAGCAATTCCATTCTATTCGTATAAGGGTAAAATGGTTCTCGTCGAAGAATAACTTCCTGAAGAATGATGCCAAAACTATAACGAAATTTTCCGTGTATAATGACTGTTAAAAAGACTGCTTTGGTTTTACCTGTACACGTCTCCTTTTTGAGAGCCACAGTCCACTTTGGCGCAATAGTTCTCTGAGTGACCCTTTTTGCATTTGCATGAAAAGAAAAATTCTGGTGCAATGTACAGCAGTTTGTCACTGTGCTCCACCAGGCAATTGTGTTGGCACTTGCGAGACAGCTTGAACTGCAAGTTGGGTATGCTGTCTGTCAAATTGTTCATTGAATTGCAGCCATAAAAGTACCCCGTGTCGTGCTTTAACTTGCGAAGGCCAAAATCAGATATTTTGACACAAAACCGAGAGTCCACCAGACAGTTGTTGGAGTTGAGGCGGCCATGGAACATGTGCTCGCTGTTGTGAAGGTACGTCATTCCTGCCAGTATGTCTTGAATGAGAGAGCAGCGAATTAACCAATCCAGGTTCAGTGATGTGTTGGCCAACAGTTCTTTCAGAGAGCCTTTAGCGCAGTACTCGGTCACTATTGCAATACAGTTTTCAGTGCAAATGCCAATGAAACGGGTTAAATTGTCATGAGAAGTTTCACGCATCTGTTAATGACATTGTGTAATGCCGTTAGTGAATTATTCAATTACTTGCTTAGACAAATTTTGACTTACGACTTTGAGTTCAATAAGCAAGTCTTTGGTAATATCAAGTTTATTGGTACGTAATTTCTTGACCACAACTTGATTGCCCTTGAAAAATGTTTTAAAAAACTAAATATGGTTAAACTTCCGATGTTACCTTGTAAAATCCAGTGGTCAAGGTTTCTTTCAAAGATCTAAGCGAAGTCGTTTCTGTGGCCTATTGCAAAAATGTTTAGTTACATTGATTTAATAAAACAGTTTTAAATTAGATGCTAGACTTGTACTTTGCTATCATCATTTTGAATGAGTTTGTCCAAGTTGACTTGATCAATTTCTTCCCATCGGATTTTCCAAGACATATTAGCTAGAGATGAATTATACTTGATTTTTCTGGTATTAAATTGTTAATGCCATTAAAAACAAAATAAGGAAAGAGTACATACTTGAAGATTAAAATTATTGAAATGATTAAGATTAAAAGTAGTGTTGTCATTGCCGAAATCATTACTTCCCAAAAAGTAAATTCTGGAAAATGTTTATAGAATCGATTACATACACAAAGCATTTTTTGAAAAACTCACTTCTACATTTTGATCCATCAAAGCCGCACTCAGGTCTGTCAATTGGTGGTTTTCCGTTTGGCCAGTGAATTTCCTGAATTGATTCGTACTTCTTTGTTGCTCCGTAGTATCGCAAAACGACCTTTGCAAAAAGTGGTTTCAAATGTAAAAGTAAATACTTATAAAAGACTCAGTTCAAGTATACTTCAAAAAGGCCACTCTTCGGATCAGTCTGGTCCAGTAGAGCGTAGTCAGCAATACGATCTCCGTCTTCGTCTAGAGTTACATTTCCTGAAATGCCTAAAAAGGTAACATTTCTCATTTGGCGCAAAATGGTTTGGCGAATGATTTGAATTGACTTGTTATTGAAAAGATGATCAGAAAGCTGACTCTCTTTTAAGCATTTGCACAGCAGGATGACCGAATCGTGAAACGAAGCGGTAAAATAGTTGGCCTACAAGCAAATAAACAAGGCATGTCTTTAGCGCAATCACTGGCACTAACAATTAGTGTGCATACCACTTGTTCGTTGTACGTGAAATTGTACTCGCTTTGAGCTAGTTCTTTCACTTTTTCACTAAAGTTTTTGTAGTCAGCACTTGGTGGTTGATTTAAAGAGACAATCAGCAAACTTTGATAGGCCGTTTTCAGTTTCTCTTTAACAGCCACCGATTCTGCAAAGTGGAAAATAGAATCGATGTACATAAACGTTAGTGATCGACATTTTACCTGATCCACCAGCCCAAGAAGTGTTTCCAATAGCTTCCTTCTCAATAAGTTCAGGATAAATGAAAGCATAGGCACCCGAAGTCATGTTCAGAGAAAAGGCAGTGAGCAACATGGTTCGAACATCCTTCTCCCCGCCGATTATAACAACAACTGAAACACGACAATGCATAATAAATAACTAGCTCAGTCGAATGGTTAAACTTACTTCGAGCGAAGTACTTCATTTTGGTCATAACTTGGTTTATTTGGTCTTCGTTTAGCTGTCGGTTTGAATCACGAGTGTACGACTCTTTACATGTGCAAACAAAGTCAGAGTACTCCGGGCGATTCTTCAGCAGCTTCATCAGTTCATCGGACAGCGTCGAATAGTAGATGTCCTGGTAGCGAAAGAGGAGGCCAAAATGAAACCAGTTGTGATGAGCCAGGAATGCCAATATAGCCTTGGCCTTGTCCCTTAAATCGTAGCTAGTGCGAATTAAAGTTGTGTATTCATTGCGTTTATTGACGATGACATCGCCCAGACCGGTGAGCAGGGGAATACCTCGGTAGGCAGCCAGTCGACCGACAATCTGACATTGAATTCAAAATGAAAAACGAGTGAACCAAACTTGAGAGGTAGTGAGGTCAGCAATGAGCCTTACTTGAACATCATCACTGCAAGCAGGTCCAATGAGGGCGACAATTTTAGTGATGCTCTCCACGTCCATAGCATTGCCCAGTGCCGCTGTTTCATTGCACTTGTCAGAGTAGGTACCTGAAAGTTGGTATGTGACAGGTTTGGTCAGTCCCCGGATAGACTGATGCATGCAAGGCACTGCCTTCTACAACAATACCATAGATCAAGTTGAGGTCAATATCGTACTCGGAGCGACATTTCTGTAGAGGGCAAAGATGTGAGCATCGAGCTTTGAGCACCCCCAGTAATCAGACCATTTTAGCGATGTCGATGGCAGGTCCAATGTGGACCAAGTCGAATCGGTTAGTTGAGCTCTTTTGCACCATCAAAACGAGAACATTATAGGTGCCGTTGTCAGGGGGAAGGCAATGGTGCGGCACATGGCCCAGAGAAAGTAGTAGCGTGGCGCCTAGCCACCATTTCGCGGCACAAGTCATGCTGACACTAGTTCATGGCCGGCGCAACGGGCAGATTATCTGCTGCTGGCGGCAGAGTTCGCACTTCGTTTGAATGTGGTTGTTAGACTTTTGCACTCACTTAGACACAAAAATAGAAGTTTGGTTGAAGAGATTTTATTCACATACACAAAATAGATCATCACCCGCTGAGTGCTACTCTTCAACTAACTAGCCCACAGCGCACAGTTAATACTAAATACGTCTTTCAGTCGGTAGTAGTACGTCTCTCTGCCGCAGAGATGGCGCACTACAGGTGAAAGAATCTCCAAGTTCTAACACTCCCCCCGATTCTGGAAACCAAGTGCGGCATCTCCTTTGAATCGCCAGTGGTCCTTCCCGCTTCCTCGGCTCTTCGTCAAAATGTCAGCCCAATTGTCCTGCGTGGCGACATACTTCACAGTGATCCGTCCTCTCACTATCA